TTGCCCCTGGACCAACAGCTTCACCTGCTCTCTTTTTCTTCAGGACCTTGGCTTTGGGAGGGACTGCTGAGCTGAGGTGGGAGGGGCAGCAGTCTCGAACCAGTGAATCCTTAAGTTGTTCTTTCCTGGGGAATGAATCCCTCTACCCCCACCCCCCAAAGCCTCCCCAGACTTCAGGACTTTGCTAGGAAGTTTCCCATTACCTGAGCCTGGTCATTGCTGGATATGGGAAGTAGTTTTACATCAGTCTAAATAAGTAAGATCCTGTCCAAGGAACAGCTACAGCCTGGTGGTGAGGTCTGTCAAGGTGGTTCCGAGAATTGTGAGAACTCAGGGGCCAGGGTGCACTGTGGGGAGGGAGTTTGCCTTGCACGTAGCACCCTCTTATGGTCCCCCCAAGCATCTCCAGGAGCATTTCCTGAGTGCAGAGCCAGGAGTAACCCCTGACTGAGCATTGCCCGGTGTGGCCCCCTGCCCCCCCAAAAAAGGGAAGAAGAAGAAGAAGAAGAAGAAGAAGAAGAAGAAGAAGAAGAAGAAGAAGAAGAAGAAGAAGAAGAAGAAGAAGAAGAAGAAGAAGAAGAGGAGAAAGAGGAAGAGGAAGAGGAGGAGGAGGAGGAGGAGGAGGAGGAAGGAGGAGAAGAAGAAAGAAGGAGGAAAAGGAGGAAGAAGGAGAAGAGGAGAAGAAGAAAGATGAAGGAGGAGGAGAAGGAGGAGGAGGAGGAGGAGGAGGAGAAGAAGAAGAAGAAGAAGAAGAAGAAGAAGAAGAAGAAGAAGAAGAAGAAGAAGAAGAAGAAGAAGAAGAAGAAGAAGAAGAGGAGGAGGAGGAGGAGGAGGAGGAAGAGGAGGAGGAGGAAGGAGAAGGAGAAGAAGAAACAAGGAGGAGGAGGAAAAGGAGGAAGAAGAAGAGGAGAAGAAGAAAGATGAAGGAGGAGTAGAAGGAGGAGGAGGAGGAAGAGGAGGAGGAGGAGAAGAAGAAGAAGAAGAAGAAGAAGAAGAAGAAAGAAAGAAAGAAAGAAAGAAAGAAAGAAAGAAAGAAAGAAAGAGGGCTTGTATCCTCGTATCTGAATTTCCCTGGAAACGAGACTTCAGACCCAGCCTGGCTTGGGGCCCGGGACACACGGGCCCTGCCTCCCGGGAGACTGAGGGGTGGGGGGTGGGGGGAATAATGCAGCTCCAGAAGCTGTCCTAGAGTGTGGGGCAAATCTGCTCCGCGTGTCCACACAGGATCCATCCCTCATGCACCCTATGCCATCTGGAAGGTGCCCGGGTGTCCTGGTCGTGCTCAGAGGACCGGGGTCCGAAGCCTGGTCGAGTCCCACCCCACCAGGCTCCCTCTGTTGACCTAGCCTGGCCTGATGCAGGAGGGGTGGAGGCTTGACCCTGAACCTGGGAGGGCTGTTAAGTCTGGAGCAGGTCGCCCAGCGCCCAGCGGGGAGGGGGAGGCCTCTGCAATCCGCAGGCAGTGCAGAGGCAGCTCCCAGGGAAGGCAGATCCAGGATTCCAGGAAAGCTGTTTTCCTCATTCTTTCCTCGCTTTCATATGCCCCCCCCCCACACACACACACGCGCGCGCGCATACACAAACACACACCCCTTGTTTAGGTAGGGGGAGTTCACCTCTCCTGGCAGTTAGTCTCCATCCCAGGTGGCAACTAGCAACTGCAGTACTGCTTGGTTAGTGTGTGAGGGCACAGGCAGTATTGGATAAAAGTAAAAGAAATGCATGATAACAGTGTTTGTTGTTGAGCTTTTAGGCAAGCAATGTCTCTGTTTTTGGTTTTGAGGGTTTTTTTGGGGGGGAAGTCTGCACCTCAGTTCAGGGCTTACTCGTGGCTCTGAACTCAGGGTTCACCTGTGGAGGTGTTGGGGGGGGGGGGGGGTAGCGCGTAGGGAGCCAGGGACTGAATCCCGGTTGGCCCTGTACAAGGCAAGTTCCCAACCCACTGTACTATCTCGCCAGCCCAGCACTGCCTGTTATGTCAAATCTCAAAAGGGACTTTCATGGTAATATCACTTTAACCCCCTAAATCCAGAGTCTCTTCATCCCGCTCCCCCCATTATGTTGATCTCGTTTCTTCCCTAGTTCCAAAGGAGAAAGAACCAAAAGTGAAAAAGAGTTGGTGACTGCACTAGCAGAAGGACCATTAGTGGACAAGACTGATTATCTCCTGCTCTCTGCCAGGGTGGAGATGGAGCAGTTGGTGGGCGGGGGAGGGGGCGAGGGGGGAGGGTACCTGACTCTATTCCTCTCAGCAGGAATATCAGATAAATTAGTGTTCCCAGGCTGGCTGGAGAGATAGTACAGTGGGTAGGGTTGCCTTGCACCCTGCCGACCCACTTTCAATCCCTGGTATTCCCATAAGGTCCCCATCCTGAGCACTGCAGAGCCAGGAGTAATTCCAGAGAATTGGAGGATGTGGTCCTCCAAACCAGAAATAAATAGATAAATAGTGCTTCCATGAGCACTGCTGAGTGTGAAACCGCCACCACCACCCCTCCCCACCTGACCTCCCCTGCCTCAGTTCTCCAAAAGGCACAAAGGCATCATGCAGTTTGGTCTTCTGATCTTAGACCCTGACTTGGGGAATGAAGCCTGAGAGGGCAGGGGTTGCTTTAAGGAGAAAGGGACCTGCCTTCAGACCCACTGGCAAAGGCCAGTGTGTGTCTGTGTGTGGTTTGATTCACTTGGTTTTGCTTCTCTATACATCTTTTTTTTTTTAGTTTCTTAAATATAATATTTTTTATTTTTTTAAATTTTTATTAGTGAGACATCTTACACCTTCCTGTTTTCAAAGAAAAGTGGTAAAACTCTGTGAAATTACTTTCTTATTCGATTATATTTTAAAAATTTCTTTCTATTTTTATTTTGTTTTGGGCCATGCCCATCAAGTTCAGGGCATACTCTTTGGCTCTGTGTTCAGAAATAACCCTTGGCCATGTTCAGAGGACCATACGGGATGCTGGGGATCGAACCTGGGTCAGATCTCTGCAAGGCCAGCCCCTGAATCACCATAATATCTCTCTGGCCCCCCTTTTCTATTCTTTAACTTCTTTTCTGGGAAGGACAGGGGAAAAGCCTGTTTTTTTTATTTGTTGTATACATATTAAAACAATGTTAAAGGGATTAAAAATGAAACTTGCTATAGGACTTCATTTGAACTTTATTTTTTCTGAGTTCTGGTTTCTCCAGTTTTTATGATCAGTTACATTGTGATTTCACGCTCTTCTCATACTCTATTTGTTCAGAAGTTTTTTAAAGAGAAGTAGTACAAAGTAGACATTGCATTGACGGGCCCAGAAGGACTAAAACAAAAGATTCCTGGCAGTTCTGAGTTCCCCTGCTTCTGCTATGCACGCGGAAATCCTCACTCCAGCGCCATAAAGTTCAGAAGAATCAGGACAACAGGCAGGGAGGGGCCACCTCCAGCCCAGACCGGACCTGACAGCTGACAACTCACAACGCTGGCCCCTCTGCTGTCTCCTGCACGACCCCTTTCCTTAAATGGATGAGTGCCATTGGTTTGCTGTGTGGTGACAGATCGCTCGCTGCCATTTAACCTTGAGCCCCCTGGACTCCTGTGAATAGGCAGAGAAGAGGAGGTGCTCCCAGAGTGCGCTCTGCAGTGGACAGAGGAGCAGAATTCTTGCAGGATGTCTCTCTGGAGGGAATGTCGGGATAGTCCATCACTTCTAGAGCCATGTGTGGTATGGCACAGTGCTCAGATATCTGATATGTGGGTTGAGTGTGGGTTTTGCCAAACTTGGGTTAACCTGTAGGCAGCCCCAGGAACTTTTCTGTGTCTAGAGAGCTTTGTGTATCTGAACTTTTTCATCCTGTGGACTTTTTCATTTATTTATAAATAATAAATATAAATTTGGGCTGGAGCAATAGCACAGCAAGTAGGATATTTGCCTTGCATGTGGCCGACCTGGGTTCGATTCCTCTGTCCCTCTTTGAGAGCCTGGCAAGCTACCGAGAGTATCCCGCCCACACAGCAGAGCCTGGTAGGCTCCCTGTGCTGTATTCAATATGCCAAAAACAGTAACAACAAGTCTCACAACGGAGACGTTACTAGTGCCCACTCAAGCAAATCCATGAACAACGGAGGACAAAACACAAGCATTTTCTTTTGGTAGAAGTGCTATAGACTCTACAGTTTTCTCAGTCACCACTCAAAACGGTAGATATCAAACAGATATTGTCCTGATAATTTCTAAACCTACCCTGATTTTCTTTGAAAATGGATAATTTATTTCCTGGTTCTCTATTATAGGCTATGTTTTGGAAAGAGATTTCTAAGGGTCAATTTGAACTTAGAAATAAGACCTGAAAATAAAAAACATTTAAAAAAGAAACTAAGCCCTCAAGTGTCACCCTGAGGGTACAGAGCTGTGGTCCTTTCCACTTGGTGATCTTACTCCTGACTGAAGCTCTTGTCTATAGAACACTCTTACTGGCCAACATTCTTGCTATCAGTGGCTCCATTACCCACAGTCCTCACCTAGGAACCTGGAATAAGAAAAAGAGTTATCCCGAGGGGCCAAAGTGATAGTACAGTGAATAGGGCACTTGTCTTGCACGCGGCAAGTCATAGTTCTATCCCTGGCACCTCATATGGTTCCCCAAGTCCGGTAGGAGTTATCTCTGAGCATAGAGCCAGGATTAAGCCCTGAGCACTACTGAATGTGGTCCGAATATGAAAAAGGAAAAAAGAGAGTTATCTCAGAAGCAGTTTCTGAAAAATTTGGACAAAATACAGCATGAGCATCTGAAATAAAAGAGCAGATAGAAAAAAAGATGAAAAGGTTCTCAAAAATATGATTCTGATTGCTTTTTCAGATTAATTGTTTTAAATGTTTCCAGAAGCCCACCAGAAGCGGCTCGTTCCCCTCTGACTGAGTGAGGCCCCAGCTGCTGAGAGGGGACTCTCAAGGGCAGAACTGCTCCTTCCTCTGGGCAGCTTGGCCAGCCTACAACCCCTTGCTTTTTATCTTTTCCAGTTCTTGGCCCAGCTGATGGTATTTCTGATCAGTTTCATAAGCTCTGTGTTTTGCGGCCACCTGGGGAAGCTGGAGCTGGACGCCGTCACGCTTGCCATTGCTGTACGTATGGGACTTTCTGACATGGATTGACGAAACTGATCTGTCCTGGTTTCTTCTTGCTGTGGTTACAAATTCCCACAATGTGTTGACTTAAAACAGCACAAGTTTATTATCTTAGTGTGTTGGAGGTTGGAAGTTCAACATGGGGTTCACTGGGCTTAAATCTAGGTGTTATCAGGGCTGCAATCATATTATCATCTATAATTTTAATTCTCCTAGGCCATGTAGCTTCAAATATTTCCAGTTATGGGAGTTAGACTGGGAACACCGTGTGTGTGTGTGTGTGTGTGTGTGTGTGTGTGTGTGTGTGTAGGGGGTGGGCCCACCATCTGAGCTGACTTAAAGTCCATGGAGCCTGGGTTCCTGCTCTTGTTCCCACAGCTAAGAGAAGGGAATCATAATAAAGAGCTTGAAGTATGACTCCGAAACTTCATCAAGAGGAATCTTGCTCCGTTTCTCCTCCCCGCTACTACTTGTCTGTCTCCCCGAGAATCCTGATCAGAGACAGAAACTAGAAAGAGAAAACTCAGGGTCGAGTGTTCAACCTAAAGTTGGATGGGATCCATATTTCTGCATACTGAATGCTAACCCCAAACCAAAGGGCTGTCCTCAGTCTCTGGATTAGCTGGTTGTGTCAAAGGGCCAGCGCATTTTTTCCAGAAAAATGGACTCAGTGGTTTGTAGCAGAATGTGTCCCCTGTTCTCCTCAGCCCACACACTTCCCCTTTTGCTCCTGAGGACCCCAGGAATCTTCCCGCAATCCCTCCTGGAAGCTGAATTTGTTCCTTCTGAACTGCGGTGCCACTCTTATCCAGCCCCTAGGCACACAGAGGTTATTTTGCTGTCAATCAGTTCCTGGCAGTCTCAGGAGGAGATAGTGATTTTAGACAGCAAGAACACCAGGTGTCCTACAATTCCACTCCCTGATTTAGGGGGCACTGCTCTGGAACCCCCGATTTTGTTGTTGATCTTTGTCAAGACAAGTTCCTGGAAGGTCTGGCACACTAGCCTTTTTTGCAGGGGAAGGGTGTTGGTCCACACACAAGTGTGCTCAGGGCCTATTCCTGGCTCTGTGCTTGGGAGTGATCTCTGGCAACTCTCAGGGGACCAGGTAGTGCTGGGGATCAATCTATAACCATTTACATCCAAGGCAAGCACCTTACTCACTGTACTACCACTCCAGCTCTGGGACACTAGCATTTACTTCAGGATTACTCCTGTGCTCCCGGACTCCTTTTGGGGATTGTAACAGGCCTTGCTTGACCTTGAACGAGTGGATTCATCAGAACTGCTGTTACTCCCTGATGCATTTCCCCTTAGAAACGGTATGAGTGGAGTTTATGCACAATTAAATCAGCCTAATCAGTGGCTGAATAAATAGCAGTACCTTTACCTTTTTACCTACATAAAAAAAAAAAAGAAAGAAAGAAACGGTATGAAATTCTCTGTGAAATTGAGAAGTGAAATGCCTAAGACTTAAAATGGAGAGAGGATGGGCAAGACTTAGGTTTTTCTTCCAACTTTAAAATTGTTGCCTTTTAAATGAAGTCGACCCAGTGGATCCCAGGTAGATAACTTGGAGTTGATTTAGGATTGATGGAGACACTGCAGACTGGGATCAGAGCAGACAGAATTTACCCGTTTTTTCTCTTTTAAGTGCATGACTTTCTCATTGTGCTTATATCCAGGTTATTAACGTCACTGGAATCTCTGTTGGGTTCGGTTTATCCTCTGCTTGCGACACTCTCATCTCCCAGGTAAGCAGGAACCTCTCTCATTGTCTCTCACAGTGTCAGTGTGTGTCTTCTCTCAAAAATCTCAACTTTCCAGCAGCCCAAATGGCAAGTGTATGTCCAGTGGGAGGAAGGCCCCGGCAAACTCTGCGCTGGTGTTTTGTCAGCCACTTATTTCAGATCTTGCCTGCTCTCTTTGACATGTGGTTGAATGTCATTCATGGTAGCTGAGCAGTGCGCATCTGCACAGCTGCCTTGCCTAGAGGGGGAAGTTTTACCAAAGCACCTCCTATTTCTTTTCATGTTTCTGTATCCGGATCTCTCAAGCTTCAGTGTCTATGAGACTAGAACACAGGTTAGTGGCCCTCAGTCAGTGGTCAGCTGATAAATATTTAAGGACATGGCCCTGAGGTGCAGAAAGGAAACGCTCTATCAAGTAGGGTTTCCCAATTCTAGTGGAATAAGCATCCTTCAACCTTTCTACACCCAAAGACTGGTCCCTGTTCTGGATACCAGCACACAGAGCAGCCATTATAACCAAAGCCTAGGCCATTGTTTTTTCAACTTTTCTACACTTGCAGACTAGCATCAGTCCATGGGCCATCATTGCCCATCAGACCACGGGCCATGGACCAGTGGTGTGAGCAACTCATTGTATTTCAAGTTAATCTCAAGCTATGGAGTACACAGAGTGACCATGGAGATGTCTAAACAGAACCTGTGAGATGTGTACAATTTGACTTTTGCAAGCCTATGCTTTAGCTTCTGTTTCTCTCAAAGCTTCCATACATGATTCCAATATTCCAATATGGGTGCTGGCAGCAATATATTGTCATCCCTGCCCTCCAAGTTTATGCCTGGAGTAGGGCCCGAGACTTTGTATATCTTTGTGGGTTTTTTGTTTGTTTATTTGTTTTGGTTTTGGTTTTGGGGATGCACACCGGGCTGTGCTCAGGGATTACTCCTGGCTCTATGCGCAGAGATTATTACTTTCAGGTTTGGGGGAACATATGGAGTGCCAGAGATAACTCAGGTAGAACTTGTGAAAAGCAAGTGTATTACTTGCTATATTATCTCTCTGACCTCGACTCTGCATTTCTTACAAGTTCCCAGGTGATTAAATCTCAACTAGAATCATGTGGGAACTTTCTTCTTTTTTCTTCATATCTGTGCCAGTTAAATTCAGTTTCCCAGTGGGAACCTGGATCCGTGTCTTAAAAATATTCCTCTTGGGCTGGAACTATAGCACAGCAGGTAGGGCTCTGGCCTGGGGTCACATAGCCTATGGGTGGCTAAGAGAAGATTTGGATCCAGCAGTCTGGCGTCAGCATTCCAGTCCAGGGAGATGTCTCAAAGGACTGGAGTATGTGCTTTGTATGGGGGATCCCCAACTTCTATCTCTAGCACTGCGTAATTCCCCAAGCACTACTGAGAGATCCTCCAAGTCATGGGGCCAATCAATTTTACAGCCAATATGGCATTTTTCTTGCATGTGGCTGACCCAGGTTCAATCCCCAGCATTCCATATGGTCCCCTGAGCACTTCCAGGAGTGATTCCTGCGTGTAGAGCCAGGACTAACCCCTGAGCACCACTGGATGTAGCCCCCAAACAAACAAAGAAATTCCTTCTGGTGAGTCTAAAGGGCAGAAAAATTTGGGACCATGAACACATATGGAATGTGGCAAAATGTCTGGGGTGATGTGTGTCTAGGAGACATGACTGAGGTCTTTAAATTGGAGTGGTACAGGTACTAGACTGTGTTGATTGTTCATTTTGGCTGTGTCTACCCAGACCTATGGAAGCCGGAACTTGAAGTACGTGGGGGTCATCCTGCAGAGGGGGGTGATCATGCTGCTACTCTGCTGCTTCCCCTGCTGGGCGCTCTTCATCAACACCGAGCACATCCTGCTCCTCTTCAGGCAGGACCCGGATGTATCAAGGTGAAATGGCACCTTCCACAGTGATATTGGGTGGGACTGAGGCTATCTTGGTAGAAGGTATTTCCCTTCTGAGAACCAGCAATACCAGGAACCAGGCCAAGGTGGGGCAGAAGTTTCTTCAGCTGACTTCAGCAAGACCTTAGGGCTTTCCATACTTATTCCTTAAGATCTAGACTCAACCTCATCAGGATGATGAATCTTGTGAACATCCTCCATCTTTCATATCATTGCAAGAAGATAGCTTGCAATGTTTATTCATGGTTTTGTGATTCTTGACCACGGTTGATATCTATCCCCTGGATGCTTTAAAAAATCACCCATGCCTGCCCCCCCCTTTGTTTTCATTTATTCAATGTATGCTTTAGCTTCTGTTTCTCTCAAAGCTCCCATACATGATTCCAATATGCCACCAAGTTTGAGACCCATTGTTTTCTGAAAAAAAAACAAAAACTATATAAAAGTCTCTGTCCTGGACCAGTATGATTCTGAACCCTAGGGGTTTTGACAATGTTGGTCAAGATTTTTTATTATCAAAGCTGTAAGTGGGCATAGTTACATCTGAAAAACATCTTATAGTGTACAGAACAGCTCCTCAGTGTAGGCAACAACCCAGTTACAGAACTGGAACTGAAAAATCCTGCCTTAAGCCTAAAGACTTGGAAGGACCAAGAGGGGTTAATCTGATTATAAGAAAGCTCTCAGTATAAAAGTTCACATTTGCTCCATTTGCAGTCTAAGCCCATTTACTTAGAAAGAGGCGAGAATGAAAAAAAGAAGTTTGAATTAGTTTATTCTGCCTTTCTTTTCCCTTAAAATGACGACCTTACGGACTTTCTTTTCTTTTTGTTTTATAGGCTTACCCAGACCTATGTCATGATCTTTATTCCAGCTCTTCCAGTAAGTTTGCTTGTGTTAAGGGGCTTGTGAGTGTTTCTTCTTGAGATCCACTGATGAGGGAGAGCAGAGCTCTGTCTGGATGAACTGACTCAGTCTGATATGATCCCCACATGTGGTATTGGTGGCTCTAATATTTATCATAAAAGATACAAACATTTGCCCCTCAAGAAAAAAAAACAGAGTTAGAGTTATTCTAGTGGGCTACAGTCCTGAGCAGTGCTGGAGTGGGCTTGGGGAGCATCCATGCAGAAGTTCATAAATCATTTTGTGTGTGTGAGGGGTAAAGTCTTCCACACTGGGCCTTCCTCTGCATGTTTACTCTTTTTAGTTTTGTTTTGGTTTTGATTTTGCTTGTGAAGTGTGGTCACACAGAGCCTTAAGTGTATGTTAGTACTGACACAGTCATATCTGCCCAGTGAATAATAAGAACTCAATTGGAATTCATTACTAGTGTAGCCAGTTAGTTTGCCAGGGCCATGACAGGGGGGTACAGATCAGGGAAAAAACAATGGACGTCTATTTTCTCACCATTTGGAGGCTGATAACTTGGGATGGAGGTGTTGTAGGAAAGGTTTCCTTTGATAAGAGGTTTTCCTCTCTTCTTGGCTTACAGATACCAGGCTCTTGCCTCTTTATATATCCCTGGGTTCCTGTGTTTTCTGATAAGTATATATCCTATTAGAACAGGGTCCACTCTAATTCCCTTATTGTAACTTAGCTCTCCAAAAATCTTATCACCAAATAGTTACCTTGGGAGTTAGAACTTTAACATATGAGTTTTTAGGGGTCGCAGCTCAATTATTAGCAATAGCCCTCTACTTTCAGGATTGTTATTGTACTCATTAATTCATCCTGAAGACTTTCACTTTTATTATTTTTTAATTATTCCATGAAAAGGGCCTATTAGTGATCCTTTAAGGGAGATCAAGGTTGCTTGAAGTAGGTCCATCTGTAAAAGTCCCCAGGCAGTCTGGCTCCCCCTCTGCTCTAGCCCCATCCTAGGCTGACTCTCAGCAAGACCAGAGCCTGCCAAACTGTGACTCCAGCTCTCTGCTTCACGGAAGGTGAAAATGCTGACGTTTGTCTGTCTTTTTCTCTTACAGGCAACCTTTCTTTATACACTGCAAGTTAAGTATTTGCTCAATCAGGTAATGCGGACTTTCCTTTGGTGTGGGGGCTCACAAAAGCTTGTACCTTTCTTTCTGGCACTATGGGGCCCTGAAAACACTGAGGGATAAGAAAGACCAGGGTGGAGCTTGCCTGTGGAGTCACTGAAAAACATTTCCCCATTTATGCACTTAGGACTTTGGCAGTGAGTGTTTTGTTAAATGATATCAAGAAAAGGACAGATTATTTTATATTCTGGAAAATTCACATCTGATTCCCATTTATAAATATTGCCATTGGAAGGCTTAAGGTTATAGCTGCAGTGTTCTTTGGCTCAGTATTGTAACCCAGACCCAGGACCAGAGAGATAGTATGCTTGCCTTGCATGTGGCTTGCCTTACACATGGCTGAGCTGTGTTCAGTCCACAGCACCACACACGTATAGTCTCCTGAGACCTTCCAGAAGTGATCCAAGCTAAGCCCTGTTGGTATGACCCAGACCCTCTCCTCTCCCTGCCCTCAAAATAACTCAGATCCCTGGAAGTAAGGGCATGTGTCTGTTCCCTAATTGCAGTATACCCATCACAATCCAGGTATCCAATTCCGCACTTGTCTGTCTGTCTCCATGGGGTCCTAAAAGCACACGTTGTAATATTGCCTCAGAATCTTCATGGGATAAGCAATGACCATATGCCAAACACTAGTGCCTGGCATCCTGACTCCAGTTGATGCTGGACTGTCTGGGAGAAGGGCATTGCTAAGGCCACTGTGTCTTCTCTGATGAGAATTTTAGTTTGTAGGAAACATACTAATTTCCAGGGGAAGTGATGAGAGTACTGCCATGATCCAAACAGAAATGATGAAGGTCTATGATGAAGAAAAGGCATCCCTGTGGGATAATGGGCGACAAAGTACTGGGGCAGACTCTGGAGAGTGACATTATGGCTTAGCTGGAGGGGCCACAGGAAAGCAAGGAATTGCTTTGAACCCAGTTTCCATCTGGGGGCCTGACCTACCTATGTGTATAAGACAAAAAGAAGCAATTGGGATTGTTGAGAAAGTAGCAAGGGTATCTGGTAGGAAGAGAAGTGAGGAAAGGTAGGAGAACACTCATATTTTTTAGTGTGTGAGGAAATGAGAGGAGTTGGTGGCAGAGGGTTTTAAGGATCTCGTCTTACCTTACTCTGCTCAGGGAAAGACATCTCTGTGCACGTTTCTCTCCGTCTGTGAGCCTACTGCACCCACATTTATGTCTCTGACCTCCTGCCCAAACATTCTTCCTCTTGCTCTAGGGCGCCCCAGACTTGTGACACATTTGACCTTTCCCTGGTGCTCTGTAAGCCCGGCCCTCTGCTTTCCTGAATTCTTTCTCAGTTATGGCATTGTCCATTATCTTCTCCCTTATTCATTCATATTTTGTTTTAGCTATTGCTGGGGGGTTCAAACTCAGCAGTGCTTGCAGATTGAACCCAGATCCTCTTATGTGTGGGACATGTCCTCTACCACTTGAGCTTCATCCCTGGCCCAACTGTTCTTCCTGTATCCCATCATACATCATTCTATTCCCTCCACCACCTTATCCACCTCCCCCTACACACACACACACATACACACACACACACGTCTGTCTCAGGGCCCTATAGGTCTCACTTGCTCCTTTTCATGCTCGTTGCCTCTGCCTTTAGTCATCTTGGATCCTTCTCTTCCCCATATTACTCCAGTAGGTGCTTTTGTTATTGTTATTGTTATTGTTTGGGGGGTTCCCAAGTGATGTTCTGGAGGCCAAGGATCCCTTCCAAGAGATTCTCAGCCAACTGGGTTAATGGTTTCAGTCATCTCACTGGTGCTTAGGGACCTCTGGGGCCATTCCAGTAGTGCTTGGGGGCCTCTGGCATGGTACCCAGTGATGCTCAGGGGTCCATGTGGTGCCAGTAATCCATCTGGGGTCAACCTGCATTACAAGCCACTTAACCCTGTACTGTGTATCCACCTCCTTCAGTGAGTCTTAATTCACCCTCTTATTGCCAGTGCTTTCCTGAGTCATTTAATCTATATGTCCTTATACCTGAAATGTAAATTTAACTACCTGACTTGTTCACTAAAATCTAACTGAAGTCTCTTGACAAAAATCCATGACCCTTGGAAATGGTTGTTGAAGAAACTTCTCCTGACCCCTTAGGTCTTGACCACCAAGACATGAGAGACAAGCCTGCAGTCTAACACAGTCAAGATTCTCAGCCTGTAGCCTTGAGAACTCAGAGGAAACTAGGTTCTCATCAAGGAAAGGGGGAGGAATCATCAGAAGATCCTGAAGGATAGATTCAGGCAAAGTCAGAGGAAGCCTGGCCCAGGCAGGGTAGGCCCTGGTTCAGTGTCCCCTGGAGGGCTTGAACTGTTGTGTGGTTCTGTGTCTTTACTCCTCAGAAAGTGCAAAGTTAATATTGATGTTGAAGGTGTTAGATGTAGGCTACTAAGGTGGGAGATTTGGGTGGGGTTGATTTTTAATGTTAAATGTTTTGTTTTTATTGACATTATTTCAAACAGCCAAATTCTTTTTTGCTTTATTTTGGGGCTACACCCCGCAATGTTCAAGAGCTACTCCCCTCTTTTAGAGTTCAAGAAGCACTCCTCGTGGTGCTTGAGGGACTGTGTGGCACTGGGATGGAATCGAGGATTCCTTTACAAACAGCCAAATTATTTACAGTCTATAATTTTAGAAAACTAAAGTGATAGCACAGCGGGTAGGGCGTTCGCCTTACAAGCGGCCAACATGGCCGACCCGAGTTCGATTCCTCCGCCCCTCTCGGAGAGCCCGGCAAGCTACCGAGAGTATTCGATATGCCAAACACAGTAACAACAAAGTCTCCAATGGAGACGTTACTGGGCCCGCTCGAGCAAATCAACGATCAACGGGAGGGCCTTTACCTTTACCTTAAACTTCCAAAGAACAAGAAATCTGTCATCTTTCAAGCGCAGGGGGAGCATGTGGGGATAGGAAGATGACTTGAAGGACTAGAGTTGTGCTTTTGCATGTCAGAGGGCCGGTTTTGATCCCTGAGCATCACTGAATGTAGCTCAAAACCAAACAATAGAAACAAAAGGCAAAACAAAGAAAAGGAATGAGGTTACACATTCCAGTTTTCTGTTAGCCTTACAGATGACTTGATCCATGTCTACTATTCCTTCCTGCTTCCTGGCAGATCTTTACCTCCTCAGATCTTTACCTCCTCAGTCCAGTGGTATTTAACTCTTGTACCTTTACATCTTCTTTGGAGAAGACAAAGAGAATGAATGGAGCCTTTCTACATTTTAGTTCCGAGTACCAGTTGGATAGTAGGCACTTTCTAGACCAGTGGAAGTAACTTATTGTCTACTTTTAAATCCCTGATGCTCTTTGCATTCCTGTAGATGAGCCACTTCTCTATTTACCTCTGCATATGCCTTTCATACCTTGGAGAGGAGGATGGGGGGGGATGCAGGTGGGAAGGGAGGAGCAGCAAATTCGAGGCCCTCACAGGCAGGAACTTCTGGCCACGCAGCCCTGTTTGGGTCAAGAAGACAGTTCCAGGGTTCTCATGTATGGTGCGTGGTCCTGGCTTCTTTCAGGGAATCATATTCCCCCAGATCGTCACTGGAGTTGCAGCCAACCTTGTCAACGCTCTCACCAACTATCTGTTTCTCCACCAAATGCACCTCGGCGTGATGTGAGTTCTGCTAATTCCCAGGATGGGGAGAGGGCTTTGACTTGACTTGCAGATGGTCTTTCTGAGGGGGTGGTGAAGGATGGGAAAACTTGAAACTTTTAGCTGGTCATTGTGTCCATGCCCATCTTCTCAAGACACACTGGAGAAGCACCAAGGGATGGAGTGTAGCGCTGCTCTGAAAAGATGACATAGTACATCCAGTGAGGATGTCTCACCCCTGCACCCAGTAGGATGGGGGGGCAGGTAGAGGAAGACACTGCCGTTTACTGGCTTCTTTCTCCCCAGGGGTTCTGCGCTGGCAAATACCATTTCCCAGTTCATCCTGTCCTTGTTCCTCTTCTTCTACATCCTTGGGAAAAAACTGTATCAAGCTACCTGGGGAGGTAAAGGTGCTTTCAATTTCCCAGCTTGGATGTGGGTTTTGTCCTGGGTTGAGCTCCAGCCTGGTGGCCAGATGTGTTGCCAATGCCTGTGTCCTGCAGGATGGTCCCTCGAGTGTCTGCAGGACTGGGCCTCCTTCCTCCACCTGGCCATCCCCAGCATGCTCATGCTGTGCATCGAGTGGTGGGCCTACGAAATCGGGAGCTTCCTGAGTGGTGAGTGTGGGGAGAGAGGGTGTGGTGACTGGAGACGGGACGACGCATGTCAACTGCTGCTCTCTACCAGGTGTCCTTGGCATGGTGGAGCTCGGAGCCCAGTCAGTTGTATATGAGCTGGCCGTCATTGTGTACATGGTGAGTGTTGGAGAGCCACTATGTGCAAGTGCTAGATGATTCTCAGGATGTCACTGACCTCTAGATGAATTCCTGAAAGTATGATTTTTATTTGAGAATCTGAGGGGCTGGGTCCTTTAGGGATAGTTAGAAGCTCTGGGCTATAAAAACCACAATTGAGTGGCTAGAGCAATAGTACATTGGGTAGGATGCTTGTCTTCCATGTGGCCAACCTGGGCTCAATCCCCGGCATCACATATGGTCCCTCAGCAGTACCAGGAGTGATCCCTGAATGCAGAGTCAGGAGTAAGAGCACTATCAGGTGTGACCCCCAAACAAAATCAAATTACAATGATTCATTGCCAGATGCCTCTCTCTCTCTCTCTCTCTCTCTCTCTCACACACACACACACACACACACACACACACACACACACAGACAATGCAAATCAGAAAGATTCTATTTGCCTGCCAAATATGAAGAATATTTTCTGGTTATAGCATCTGGGGCCAGGTTGGAGCATAAGCAGAGGATGATGCTGGACACTGGCAAGAGCCAAAAGGCAGAAGGAATCCAAATGTCCTAATAGATCAGATGTGGTCTGTCAGGCTGGAGCGATAGTACAGTGGATAGGGCGTTAGCCTTGCACGCGGCCAACCCGGGTTTGATTTCTAGCATCCCATATGGTCCCCTGAGCACCGCCAGGATTAATTCCTGAGTGCAAAGCCAGGAGTAACCCCTGTGCATTGCTGGGTGTGACCCAAAAATTTTCAAAACATGGTCTGTCCTTGCAATAAAATATCATTTCATGTTGGAATGGAAAAAGTGGAGGTACACGGGAGAACCCTAGTCATTAGAAGCTTTTCTCTGTCCTTATTTTTGTGAAAATATCATGCTGAAGGGCTTTCTCTCTAGTAATTATCACTTTTCAGTTAAAAAAGTCAGGTGGGAGCAGAAGACTTTTATAAGGTGGAAACTAAAGTTATCATGTGGAACTTGATGCTGTTTATAGCATTAATGCTAAGATCTCCCCCATCTCAGATTGCTCATATAGAGTTGGGTTGGGGGAAGATGGCTGGGTCACACCTCGTGGTACCCAGGGTCTATTCCTGACTCTGTGCTCAAAGGTCACTCCCTGGAAGGACTTGGGGGATAATGTGGATACATCGAAAGTGTCTTCACCCTTGTACTATCTGTCTGGCCAGATTGCTTATATTTTAAAAGTAAAAATAGTATAGATTTACTATTTTCCCAAAGAATTAATCTACTGAAAACTTGTTTCATTGAAACAGGTCAGAAAAATGCCTTTAATGATGGGGATTATCCTGTGTATCTTTTTTCCATTTTCCTATCCTCAACAGGATTTTTTTATCTGTCACTTCAACACTATATATATATATTATACATTTATTTACATATATATTTATCATTTGTATTTTGTATTTTTTGGGTCACATCCAGCTGTGCTCAGAGCTTATTCCTGACTCTGCGCTCAAGGATCAAGGATCACTCCTGGCAGGCTTGGGGGCGCTATGAGGTGCCTGGGATTGAACCTGGGTCAAACGTGTGCAAGTCAAGTGCCCTACCTGCTGTACTATCTATCTAGCCCCTATATTTGATATACTTTTTCTATTTCTATAAGCTCAGTAGCTAAATCAAATAATTTGTTGTTGTTGTTGTTTGGGGCTACACCTGATGGCATTCAGGGCACACTCCTGGTGCCATGCTTCAGGAATCTCTGCTGGCAGTGCTTGGGGAACCATGTGAGATGCTGGGGATAGATCCCAGGTCAGCCACATGTAGGACAATTATCCTGTCTGCTGTATTATCTCTCTATCCCCATCAGTACTAAATCTAGATCTTTAGTACTATGTAATATTCCATTGCATGTAGTATAACTAAATAAAAATACTTTCCCAGTGTCAAATATTTAGGTTATTCACTATGTTTCAGTCTAGCAGATCACTGAACATCTTAGGACAATTATCATTGTGTACTTGTCTATTTAAGAAAAATTCTTAGAAGTTTTGAGCTTTGCTTTTCACATATATTATAATAATACTTGCTTTAGATTTATAATTACTTACATTTATGTTTCTCCCTAATCAAATAGATTTATTTCCTCTATTCATATCGGAGAGCCTGGCAAGCTATCGAGAGTATCTTGCCTGCACGGCAAAGCCTGGCAAGCTACCTGTGATGTATTCCATATGCCAAACACAGTAACAATAAGTTTCACAATGGAGATGTTACTGGGCCCGCTCGAGCAAATCAATGAACAATGGGAGGACAGTGCAGTGCAGTGCTATTTATCCACCTTGTTTTAACATTTTGCCAACCTTATTCCCCAATCTTGCTTTCCTCCCTCCCCTTCTATTCCCCTCTTTCCTTCTCTCTCTCTCCTTCCTTCCTTCCTTCCTTCCTTCCTTCCTTCCTTCCTTCCTTCCTTCCTTTTCCTTCCTTCTTCTCCATAGTCAAATACAAGCAATTGTTCAAATAATGGCCTTTGTAATTATTTTTTTCCTGGAAATATGGTACCGTGCCTTATTAATGTCCTCTAACCTAGAACAGATCCTCATCCTTTCCTTGTCTTTCTTGACCTTGCCTTTTATTTTTCTATGTAACTGGAATGTATAATGTTAAGAGAATTAAGTCAGGTATACCACTTTGTGTATTGTGTATTTTCTCACATATAGAGCCATCTTCATTTGTGGGAATTCTAGAAATGACACAGTGTCACTCTCAAGCATTGTAGTAGGCATTAGGTGGAGGATCTACATCTTTGGTACCCACTGCTGGGTTAAGGCAGTGTCTGCCAAGTTTCCCCACCATCGAGTCTCTTTTCTGCTTTGCAGTTAACCAGCAGTCCTCCAGGAGATCTCTGTTCTGCTCCCACTAGATAGGACTAGGATTGCCCTGATTATTTTCAGGTGTGGCCAAAACTAAACAAAAACAAAAAACAAAATACCCAAGCCAACTCAGAGTCCCATTTCTTAACAATATTATCGTCTTCCACCCCTCTCACAGAGGGGCGGCTGTGGACTTGGTGCACTCACTGTTCCCCTGAGTCCATCCTTTTGTACCCAGAGGGGAATGTGGTTGTGTAAGGCCTCCACACTCAGAGACACAAGTTGGAAACTGGGTGTGATGAGGTCACAGCCTGGGGTGCCAGGGTTCACGTGTGTGTGTGTGTGTGTGTGTGTGTGTGTGTGTGTGTGTGTGTGCGTGCACGTGCACAGGGAGAGGAGGATGTGGAACTGTAAGGAGGCAGTTAGTCAAAAGGATTGTTGCAAGTAAATCTTTTCAAACTTTTACTGTTTTGTGACCTGGGGAAGCTGTGGGGAGATCCCGAAGCAGGGCTGCCCTTGGAGCCAGTGTCACTCTGTTTCATTGCAGGTTTCCTTTCCCCCTTAGATCCCGACAGGCTTCAGCGTGGCTGCCAGCGTCCGTGTGGGGAACGCATTAGGTGCAGGGAACATTGAGCAGGCCAAGAGGTCCTCGGCAGTTGCCCTGATCATCACAGGTGCTTAGACACCCCTATAACCTATGTCTGGTACCTGACAATCCCCCTCTTTTTACTCTGCTGTTTATTTGCAATTTTGCCTCCAGAACTCTTAGCTGTAACCTTATGTGTCCTGATGTTAAGCTGTAAGGACCTTGTGGGGTACATTTTCACAACTGACCGGTGAGTATTGGGTTATTCTTGAAAGGTGACTATGTAGGTAAGAAATGGTTGCGTAGATGTTGGGTCTGGTACTGCTGTGGTTGTTGCATCTTAGGGCAGGGTGGGGGGATGTCTGAGTCATTTGCAAGTTTGATGTTATTTGGGAAGAAGTGATTGTAAAGGGGAACTAATTTATAATCTAGAATGCCAGGTTAATAGTTTTTGGGAGAATAATGTACACCTAGGCATCAAGATGCTCTTGTATCATTTTTCCTGGTCTTCCGTGTAACTTGCTTCACTCCGTATCATATCTGGTTCTATCCATGTTGCAACAAAGTGTATGATTTTGTTCTTCCTTAGTGCCACATAGTATTCTGGTGTGTGTGTGTATATGTGTGTGTATATTATATATACCACAATTTGGGGGGGGCCACACCCGGCAGTGCTCAGGGATCACTTCTGGTGGTACTCAGGGAACCATACGCGGTGCTGGGGGTTGAACCCAGCTGCTTGCAAGGGAAGCAACATGCCCACTGTGTTATGACTCTTGCCTCCTAACAGGTCTTTGATCCATTCATCACTAGCTGGACATTTGGGTAGTTTCCATATATTGACCATTGTATTAAGTGCAGCAATGAACAGAGGTGCGCATATATTCTTTCAAATCAATATTTTGGATTTGATTTATTTTAAACAACCTGCAATGTTACCATTCAAAAAATGTTATTGGGATAACATAATTATTTTTCTGTCCTTTTTATTGGAGGAAAGCATCTTATTTGGTGAAGGATTTTATATGTATTAGTTTATCCAGGAGTTATTTATCAGAAATGTTGTAGATTTATCTGCGACCAAACTCACTCAGGGATTTCTTGCTTTCCTAGGCCAGCAGCGAGAGTATCTCAGTTTTATTTTTATTTCCCCTTTGTTGCTTTTGCTGTTGTTTCCTTGGTGACCGGAGGCTGTGCACACTTGGTTGTGGTACTTGCACACTTGTCTGTGCTGCTTGCTAGGGACTGCACATATAGTAGTATGAATTTTAGTTTTCTTTAAGTGTGGGCATTAAAAGCCAAGTCTTTAGTTTTGATAGTTAAGTCCCATTTCTCAGAGTCAAGAAAAATTCTGCAAACTTTATCCATGGCCTTGGTAATATGCTAACCTAGACCCATAAAGGGAACCTTAACTTTATTTCAAACGTATTAGAGACTTGTGAAATAATGTTTAAATGGATGGTGCTAGGGCCAAAGATATTGTCCAGGGTAAGGCATTTGCTTTGCACTTGGTCAACCTGGGTTGGATCCCCAGCATTCCATATGGGCCCTCAAGCCCTACCAGGAGTGATCCCTGAGCACAGAGCCAAGTGTTAGCACCAAGTACTGCTGGTGCTAACAAACAAGCAAAAACTGGATGACACTATAATCCAGTTTTATTGGGGGGGCGGTCACCAGATCATTTAATTTTGTTGTCTATACTAATTAAATAGACTATCTGTTTTCTCCAAAATTGATAACGAAACATGGAGTTGGTTTCCGATACAGACCAAGATACAGTAGGATTTTCCATGAGTAGAGCATTGGCAGGCACTTGTGAGTCTCTTTGGTTAAGTAGAGAAGCTGCATGTCTGCATTCAGGACCTGCATGGTTCTACTCTTCCCACATGTTTGTCCCCAGAACCATGTGCTTTATCTTTCAAACAGAGAAATCATTGCTCTAGTGGCCCAGGTGGTTCCGATTTATGCTGTTTCCCACCTCTTCGATGGTCTTGCCGTGAGTAACATGCTGTGTTCCCTAGATGTTTGCCATCTCTGTGTTTCTTCTTTGATGATACGCTAAGACAGAGAAGGGGCATTGGGGAAGGGAGGTAACCCCGAACGCTCTTACCAGATTCACTTTACAAGAGAATTGCATCACTGCTTTCTAAGTCTGAGCACGGTAGAAAGGGTCACGGTTGGGATGGGAATCATCCAGATAAGCCATCTGCATGGCTCACACTGATCAAATCTTATCTGCCTGCAGTGCACAAGCGGCGGCATTCTGAGGGGAAGTGGAAATCAGAAGGTTGGAGCCATCGTTAATGCCATTGGGTATTATGTCATTGGTCTCCCTATTGGAATTTCACTGATGTTTGCAGCCAAACTGGGGGTGATCGGTAAGCTTCAACCACGGGAGGGCTGCAGAATACCCAGCAGTCCCCAACCGGACTGTCAGGGCTCAAAGGCTTTTCCTGAGACTCAACCCTGAATTAGAAACTTTCCCAGGTTCCCTCAGACCCTGTTCAAGAGGGCACCAAAAGGACTGGGGAGCAGGGTCCCCAAGGTCCCTGCTCATTCCCCTCATACACGCATAGGCAGGGGCCCTTACAGTGCTCTGCCTATTCCTCTCTTTCCTGTCACATCAGCTTCTCACTTCTGCAAAGTAAGTAGCATCAGGGATGCCAGCTTTTGTGGCCCTGATTTTTTTCTTCAGGGATTTGCCCACGGCCCTCATAAACTATCCAGCCACAGCCATACGGAGAGGGTTGAGGTCTGGCAGCAGCAATCACCAGACAGCTTGACTGAAGTTCTTACACAGCTTTTGGCGATAGCCAAAGTGGCCGAGTGACCCCAGAGCAGAATCTCTGTGTCTTAACTGTCCAGCAAGAGAGGGATCACCAAGGGAACAGCTAGGGGGCACCTCTGTCATCATCTTCCCTGCCCTCCTCACCTCCCACCCTGAAAGGCATAATGTTTTTTTGTTTGTTTGTTTGTTTTTAATTTTTATTAGTGACAAACCAAGAGGTACAGTTGTAGACTTACAAATTTTTGTGCTTGGGTTTCAATTATACAATGACTAAGTACCCATCCCTCCACCAGTGCCCATTTTCCACCACCATGGATCCCAGTATCCCTCCCACCCCCCATCCTTCCCATCCCACCCTGCCTCTGTGGCAGGGCATTCCCTTTTGTTCTCTCTCTCCTTTTGGGTGCTGTGGTTTGCAAAAGAGGCATTGAGTGGCAATCATGTTCGGTCTTTAGTCTACTTTCAGCATGCTTCTCCCATCCTGGGAAGATCCTCCCAATACCCTTTATTTGGTGCTCCCTTCTCTATCTGAGCTGCCTTTTCCCCTAGCATATGTGACTGGCCTCAAAACCATGGAGTAAACCTCCTGGTACTTAGCTATTCTTGGGTGTTAGTCTCCTATTTTGTTACTTTATGTTCCCCAGATGAATGCAATCTTTCTATATCTATCCCTCTCTTTCTGACTCATTTCGCTTAGCATGATGAAAGGCATAATGTGTTCAAGTGTGTGTCTTCTGGGTCTCCACACAGGGCATAGGTGATATGTGTGATCTCAGAGGAAGGTGGGTTTGTTCATGGCCTTCTTCATTCCCTTTCTGTGCTAGTAAGAAGGAATTTAATCCACAGCATTTGAAATGAATGGCCAGAACTAATCTTGAAAAAATGGGGGGGGGGGGAGGGGAGGAACCAAGGTTTGATTTCTAAAATAATAATTTGGAATATGTCTGCAGTCCATCAATGAAACCAAAACATGTTATCTTTGGGCAAAGCTGTGACTGACTTGAGGATGGGTTTGTATTTCTATCCATGGAACCTTGGCAGGCTGAGGGGAGGTGAGAAGCCATGTGATACCTGGCTTGAACTTCCTGACTGTTGCATTCCATTATATTGCACATTTTTTTCTCAAACTCAATAATATTTTAATGAAAAACATGGACGGTATTCAAAGACAATGGAACTGCCAAGGCAAAGTTCACCAGACTTGTGTCAGGGTACAAAAAATGAGTCAGCTGAGTTTCTGGATATTATTCATATTTGAACTTATAAACATATAGGCCTAGATTGTAATAGCTTTAAGTTTATACCAAAGAGCAATATTAGAAGCACTGTCCTCCCGTTGTTCATCAATTTGCTCGAACAGGTCCAGTAATGTCTCCATTTTGAGACTTCTTGTTACTGTGTTTGGCCTACTGAATACATCACTGGTAGCTAGCCAGGCTTTGCCGTGCGGGTGAGATACTCTTGGTAGCTTGCCGGGCTCTTTGAGAAGGGCAGAGGAATTGAACCCGTCTCGGCCGGGCTGACTGCACACAAGGCAAATGCCGTATGGCTGTGCTATTGCTCCAGCCCAGTAATATATGTGGTGGCAGGGATTGAACCCAGTTTAGTATGTGAAGCAAGGTCCCTGCTTGCTATACCACCTCTTTGGGAAATAATACTTTTTGTTTTCTTTTTGGGTCACACCCGGCAATGCTCAGGAGTTACTCCTGGCTCTGCACTCAGGAATTACTCCTGGCGGTGCTTGGGGGACCATATGGATGCTGGGAATCAAACCCAGGTTGGCCACATGAAGGCAAACACCCTACATGCTGTGCTATTGCTCCAGCCCCTATGAAGGGTTTTATTACAGTTTTGATCTAGCTCAGGTATCTATCAGGCAATGTTGGCTTCAGAAAATGAGTTGGGAAACTTTTGCTCCTCTCTTGTTGTTTCTTGGGCCATGCCTGATGGTGCTCAGGACTTACTCCTGGCTCTGTGCTCAGGCATCACTCCTGGTGGGGCGGGGGGAGCCATATGGGATGCCCAGGATCAAACCCCCTTCAGCTGAGCTCAAGGCCAGTGCCTTCCCCAGTGGCCTCCCCACTGTCCTCCTCCATAAGAGGGCCATGCCCTGGTCCTGGAGCAGCTGTTATTCTGGCTAACTTCTCCACTGAACCTACATTAGCAGAATGTATACTTAAAACTATAGATCCAGGATTGGAGAGATGGTATAGTGGTTAGCACCCTTGCCTTGTACGTGGCCAATCCAGGTTTGATTCTGGGTATCTCATATTATCCTCCAAGCCTACCAGGAGTGAGTGATTCCTGAGCACAGAGCCAAGAGTAATCCCTGAGCACCATCAAGTATGAACTGAAAAAACTAAAACAAAAACAAAATTAAGGGGCCAGAGAGACACTATAGCGGGGAGGGCACTTGTCTTGCACACAACTAATCAGGGTTCCATCCCTGGCATCCCATATGGTCCCCTGAGCATCATCAGGAGTTATTCCTGAGTGCAGAGCCAGGAGACAGCCCTGGGCATCACTGGGTGTGGCCCCGAAACTATATACATGTATATATACACATACATATATATCTATATAAAAAAAAAGACAAGGATCTTTGTTCACTAATGCACAAATGGCAGGTACTCATCAACTTTATTGTCCAAAATATGGTCTGATCACACCTGGAAAAAGTGATATGAGAATAATTTGTACCAAGGAATGGTAAAAATCACACCAAGTTTCTAGGCCATCTAAACCTATAAACTCAGTCTTGCCATCTTACTCTTGCTGGGGGACCATGTGATGCCAAGAATTGAATCAGTGCTTCCTGTAGGTAAAGAATTCACTCAGCACATTGAAATGTATGTATTTTTTGACTCATTCGTTTATTTATTTAACATATATTCCAGGCCTTGAGCAAAAGAAGCAAATATGTTTAATTGAATTAGATAACTATTTTTCTTAGTTTTCTTGCTCTTTTTCTTAAGAATCACAATTAAATAATAAATTAAGAACCAAAATTTAATTACATTATTAATGAAATATATTTTTTATGAGTTGGTGAAAGTACAACAGGTAGGGAGCTTGTTTTGTACACGGCCAACCTGAATTTGAGGCCCAACACCCACATATGGTCCCCCATAGCCCACCAGGAATGATTCCTAAGCACAGAGCAGGAGTAAGCCCTGAGCATAGACAGGTGTGGCTCCCAAACCAAAAATTAAATATATATCCATATGGAGTGATAGCACAGCGGTAGGGGTTTGCCTTACAAGCGGCCAACAGGCCGATCCAAGTTCGATTCCTCCGCCCCTCTCGGAGAGCCCGGCAAGCTACTGAGAGTATCTTGCCCGCACGGCAGAGCCTGGCAAGCTCCCCATGATGTATTCGATATGCCAAACACAGTAACAACAAGTCTCATGATGGAGACGTTACAGGGCCCGCTCGAGCAAATCGATGAACAACGGGAGGACTGTGACTGTGACCGTGACCATATATATGTACATGTATGTGTGTGGGCTGGAGCAATAGCACAGCAGATAGGGCGTTTGCCTTGCATGCAGCCAACATGGCCGACCAGAGTTCGATTCCTCCACCCCTCTCAGAGAGCCGGGCAAGCTACCGAGAGTATCTCGCCCACACGGCAAAGCCTGGCAAGATACCCGTAATGTATTCGATATGTCAAACACAGTAACAACAAAGCCTCATGATGCAGATGTTACTGGGCCCGCTTGAGAAAATCGATGAACAACGGGAGGACAGTGACAGTGACATGTATGTGTGTATAGGTAGATGGATATATATAGGTGCTTACCAGGGATTTGCACTGCATTGCCCCATTTTGGTGTTTACACTCACCTGGCTACATACAGCCAGAAATCAGCTGCAGGTTGAGTTACTAGAATCGCACTCAGCATGTGTGGCAAATTCAGAGATTTGAACTTGTGATCGGGCCTTCACAAGGCAGCCATTCTAAGCCTCTGCTTTTCCTCTAAGCCAAAAACTGAATCAGTTCTTTTGTTCTGTAGTAGAAAGTTTGTCTACAACTGAACCAGAAAGGAAATTTCTATCTTTGAAGTCTTAATTGAGCAACTGAGAAAATTAAGATTGGGGGGTGGGGAGAACCTCAGTGAGCCCCTGGGCCACATCTGTGCAGATGGACTTGGTCCACCACAATGGAAGGCAGACATCTCCACTGTCCTGGGGTACCCTGAAAAAGGCAGAACAGTGATCAACTGCAGGGGCTAGAGTAATGCTATAGAGGGCAGGGCTCTTATCTTGCAAGTTGCTGACCTAGATTTGATCCCTGGCATCCCATGTGTTCCTCCAAGCCTGCCAGGAGTGATCCCTAAGTGCAGAGTGAGGAGTAGTCCCTGAGCACTGCTGGGTGTGGCAAAAAAAAAAGAAAGATAGAAAGAAAGAAAGAAAGAAAGAAAGAAAGAAAGAAAGAGAGAAAAAAGAAAGGAAAAAAGAAAAAGAAAAGAAAAATTAATCAAAGCTGTAAAACAAGAGGCTTCCAGAGTAATAGATGGTAGTATTTATTTGAATTGGGGGTCATCAGGGTGTGGCAGGTCTCAATTTTCTTGAACTCCTAAAACCAGTCAATATCCTCATCCATTTGATTTCCTCACTGGTAGAACTGGCACATAGAAGGGCGAGAGTGGGCTACAGGAGGCTAGAGAAGGCTTCTGGATACGTCTTTCAACTCTAGGTTTGAGCCTAGCTTTGTTTTCACCTTCCGCAGGTGCTGGGACAGTTAAGACCATGTCTGGTGGGAGATATCTGTGCTTTAATGAGTCCCGCTCTAGTTGTACAGTTACAGCAATAGACTGTTTCACTGATGGAGTATCAGTTTCAGTACCAAGAGCTTGTCCTGGGCTCTGCATCAAATGGAATGACGGAGGCTTGATCTGTGAAGAATATACCCAATGTGATGCAGGGACACTCTGCAACCTGAGGAAGTAGCCATTTCTGTGCATTTCCTACCACACTTTGTCTGCAATTGGTGTCTTCCATTATGTTCATAGGGGTCTCACAGAACAGAAGAGGAATTATAGGACAAAATGATTTAGGTCCAAGGGTGGAGAACAGGAGAGTCCCTGGGTTTGCTGAATAAAAGGGGCTAACCAGGGGCCGGAGAGATGGTACAGAGGGCAGGGCATTTGCCTTGGTGCAACCAATCCAGGTTTGATACCTAAAATCTCATTTGTTTCTCTGAGCCAACCAGGAGTGATCCCTTAGTACAGAGCCAGGAGTAAGCCCTCAGTGTTGCCAGATGTGGTGTGGGTCCAAACCAAACAACCATAAAAAGTAATAAATTTGCACCCCTGGCAATGGAAATCCTAAGAGAATGCCTTCTGTGAAACAAAGCCAAGTTCTTAGAACACAAAATTGAGCCAGAAGTTGTACCTCAGGCTGCATAAATAGTAACTCTCAGTAAGGGTTGGTGCAAGTGGATGTTGGTCCGAGGAGAAACAAACCTTGCAGTTCTGGGGGACCAGCTTGCACAACAGGCTTGCAGAGATCAAACCTGTCTTGTTCCTTGAGCATCTCCTGTGACAAACAACACTTTTACATTGCATAATACAAGACAGTAAGCCCCAGGAGAGCATCACGGGAAGAAAGGAACATTCTGATTCTGCTAAGGGTGCCAAACAGATGGGAACCACTGGCAAAACCCATGTACCAAACCAAAGAGGTAGCCCAGGAGCTCAGTGAAGGGTGGAGTTAGATCAGTCCTGACAAGGCTCATGCAGAAAGACCAAGGGACTGCAATGGGTCTCCATCTGGTCCAAGGCTAGGGTCCATGGTGATAGTCTTATATGGCCTCTATGATTAACTATTGTGAGTTTCAGGGAAAAAAAAGCACAGTGGCATTCAGGACAAGAGGATTTGGTGGCTGAGAACCATTCCCCTGGCTGCCCATGGTGATGGACGGACAAAGGATGGGGGAACAGAGAAACAGGGCTCCAGGCTCGTCAGTAGTTTATTTCTCTCTCCTCCACAGTGTAGTTCAATCTCTCCCTTACAGCACAATTGTTGTAAAAATTTTGGTCATAGTTCCAGTCACTGTAGTTCCATCATCCTAGTCTCCTTATAAACCTCAAAGTCCTCTACCCCTCTTATCCCTTACAGCATAGTTACATAGAAATCATGAAGGGTGGGGGCGCACGTTGGTGGGGTTGAATATTGCCATAACAAACAGAGGTAAAACCACTCCTTCAGGGGAAGTTTTTGGGGATTAACTCAAGGACAAAATCTCATCTGAGGGTTCAGCACTCCAGATTACTAGGAGATCTGCTCAAGGGCAGCATTCCATCCAGGATGAATTGCTCTATCCTTTCCTCAGCTAGTTTAAACAATCATAGTAAATTTAGCACTGTAGCACTGTCCTCCCATTGTTCATGGATTTTCTCGAGCGGGCACCAATATCGTCTCCATTGTGAGAGCTGATACTGTTTTTGGCATATCGAATATGTCACGGGGAGCTTGCTAGGCTTTGTTGTGAGGGCAGAATACTCTCGGTAGCTTGCCAGGCTCTCCGAGAGGGGCAGAGGAATCGAACCCAGGTCTGCCTCATGTAAGGCAAACTATGCTATCGCTCTGGCTATGCTATCACTCTGGCCCATAGTAAATTTACTTCTTATAATATTTCTAGTCATTTTGTATGAACACAGTAAGAGATATATTAAGCTTAATGGTTGCTCTTCCTGGGGACATTTCACTATATATCCCAGACTACAGTCCTCAGGCCAGGTTAGTCTTCCTTAACCCCAGTGGGGTCCTTATTCAGTTACTTCTTTTTGGGTCATGACAGAGTTCGTTCCATGACCATGATTTTTTTTTATGACCATGCTTTTAACTTATTATACTTATGATGCTTAGCTTGTCCCCTTTTGATGCCAGGGGTAGCTTACCGCTTGCCCTGGGTCCATCCAGTCCCTTCATCGGGACCTTCCTTTTGGGGGTGTTAGGAAGTAAAGGAAACTGAGGCTTAAGTCAGGTAAATATGATGAATGCTCAGAAGTAAATATTATTGGAGTCGATTAGCTCCCATGTTACAAAGCATAATCACTGTCTTCCGGTGTCTATACAAAAAAGAACATTGCTAAATCACTGTATCACTGTATCACTGTCATCCCGTTGTTCATCAGTTTGCTCAAGTGGGCACCAATAACATCTCCATTTGCAGTCTCTCTTTACTTGTCCTTCCCAGTGGTGCCGCATTAGAGGCTCTATCAGGGTCAGGGGAATGAGGCCTACTATTGTTACTGTTTTTGGCATATCAAATACCCTACAGGGAGCCTGCCAGGCTCTGCCATGAGGGCAGGATACTCTGGGTAGCTTGCTGGGTTCTCCGAGAGGGAGAACTAGACTATTAGAGGTCATGCTGCACACTTCTGGGAGCTTTGTTTTATAGTCTCTGGATCTTGGCCGTTGATGGGATTACATAGCACTGGGGGCAGTTTGTGTGTGTATCTGCCTAGCTACTAGAAAATGGGGGATCTGGGTGGAGGAGGCCCAGTCCTGATCTGAGCAGGCTTGGAGATCTCAGCCCTGGGTCCTGCCCACCTGGGTTCCTCTGCCGGTTCCTTCATGCATGAGGCTTGTCCAAGCGTGTGGAGAGTGGCCTTGAGCACAGCTGTGGCTGGGTTCCGGAGGTCTTTGGCTGCCAGGGCTCTGCTCAGGGCAGGGAGGGAAACTCAACCCGCCTGCCTCCGAGAGGCCCTGGTAAGACAGCCAGTCGCAGGAGCAGGAGATTCTCAGGAGTAAATATTATTTGAGTCAATTAATTCCCATGTTACAAAATATAGCATCAACTATCTTCCTGTGTCTATACAAAAAGGACATTGCTAAATAAACCATGCATATGACATAAAGGAAAAAGAAAGGCAATATAGTATTATTAGTGCTTGATGGAATTGGGTGTGCTTCAGGGGCACTGTTGTGGGAGTAACTCAATAAACCTAAACTTCCTGGGGAAGAAGCAAAGATAACCCAATGTTATCCAGCAAACTATAAAAATGAACAAAAACCAGCTGACTGAGAAAAGCCAAGACCCTTATGGTCTTGCTGTACAAACAGGGATAAACATTGTCCATGGAGGAGTGGAACAGAGGAAGATATTCAGTGTTGCCCTGAATGGAGGCTGTTGATCTGGGAGAGCTAGTGGCAGGACCTGTGTGAGATATTTAGTTTCCTCTGCCTGGCCCTAAGTTAAAAAAAATGGTAGAACATTTGGGAAACTGCTATTTCTTCATCAAGTCCTGGCCTTTTGGGATTAATTGCTGTAATTTTTTTTTAGTTTCCTAGAATTATATCCATTGAGATCTCAATCTGGCTTCTTCAAGTCTGACATAAGGCAGGCTGGCTTTTGGGTGGCTTGTTGTAGATAAGGGTTTGGTCTTCTGGGCAGATTGCTTTAGGTGGGTCCTGTATGGGTTCTTAAGAACAACAAAATTGTATTTCTGTGATCTCACCATTGTTCGTTTGTATAGACAGCCTCTCTGGGATCTCATTAGAATTTCTGATTCCGCTATCTGTTTATTATTGACCCCCGCCCCCTCAAGAAATCCCTGTAATTTGGGGTCTCCTTGTGGGTCCCACATGAGTTTCTTAGACAGAATTTGTATGGTATTTTGGGGTCTATGAGACTTTCCTCATCTCTATTCCACACAATCACTCCTTTCTTATCCTTTAATCACTGCTGAAGAATAACTGCCCTGGGAGCTTTAAGCACTATCTGTGGACAATGCAAGTGAGATTGAACAAGAAGCATTCTAAACATGTTAGTTCCCTTTTGGGAAGAAAAATAAAGCACAGTAGTTTGAAATTAAAATAATGTTATAACAGTATTTTGTTATCTTAGTAGCCATGATGATTTCACTCAGGCCAATAACATTAAAAGCCAAAAAGGCTAATAACATTAAAAGCATTATTATTTCAAAGGCCAGAAATAACCACTGGCTGCTCTGACATCTGGATCCTGAAAGGTGGCTGCCAGAAGCACTGGGCACCCAGAACCTTCTGGAAGCCAAATGAGAGTGCAGGGTAAAGGTCTCTGGTCACTGGGGCTCCATCTCAATTATGGGAGATTCGGAGTGAGATATAACTGACATATTCTCTGGGGGTGGCTAGTTGAATCATGAATTAACCCCTCTGTTGTGTTTCCACTGATAGGTCTGTGGGCAGGAATCATCATCTGTGTCATCTTCCAAGCTGTGTGTTTTCTAGGCTTTATTGCTCGGCTAAATTGGGAAAAAGTCTGCCAACAGGTAACTATGCTCACTGCTATCCCTGTTACGGTCTCTTTTCTAGAGTTAGTGTTGACTCTCATTTTGGAAGTTTCTTTGCTCTTTTGTTGAACATGCTACTTTATCAGTTAATTGGGGGCCACATCTGGTGAAGCCCTGGGTTTACTCCTGGCTCTGTGCTTGGGGATCACTCCCGGAGGTGTACAAGGTACTAGGGATTTTAACCAGGGTCAACTGCCTTACCTTCTGTAGTATATCTTCAGCCCATTGTTGTTTTAACTAGATTTAACTTGGATGGAGATGGCCAGACAATGGGCTATATCATCTCCCTTTGTTTCTTCATTGAATAGAAAAATAGGGAGTTGTTTTTTTTTTTGGTATCCCATACACTACCACCTATGTGCCTCAAAAGTCAACTTCAGAGTAAGATTTGGAATCCAGAGGGTGAGTTGGAATGTCCTGAAATTCATTCTACTTTTTATAATTTCCAAATATTTCTTTAAATTGCCTATGTATATCTTTGTCTCAAATTTTCTAGAGTGAGGTTTGAAAATGGGGGTAAATGAAGGAGTGAAGGAAGAAGGAAGATTCTAAATTATTTTAGTTCTTGTCTTCTCCTTATCTTGTGCTATTACATCCAACCTACTGCCCTCCCACCCTCTGACCTAGTTTGCATATGAATTAAAGAAAATAGCCTGACTTAACACTAGGTGGGGTTAGAGAGGAAATGATCAGGAAGGGGCCCAGAAAGAGGAGGGAGGGGCCAGACCTTTAATGGATAATTGGCATAATTTGCATCTGTGATCTGATTTGCATCTGTGATCCTCCAGACCTTATTCACATAAGGGCATATGAGATCATCTCACAAATCCGCATAAGGGCATGTACAATCTAATTGGTCATTCCACAGTCATTCACCCTCGTTTGCATACACAACGCTAATTGGTTGTTCCAATTAGATGACCCAAGGATGTAACCAATCAAATAATAGCAACAATTAAGGGGTGGAGCTACGTAGTTTATGTAAACCATCTCACCGTATGGGCTGGAGCAATAGGGCACAGTGGTAGGGCGTTTGCCTTACAAGCAGCCAACATGGCCGACCCGAGTTCGATTCAAGCTACCGAGAGTATCTCGCTCGCACGACAGAGCCTGGCAAGCTACCCGTGACGTATCTGATATGCCAAACACAGTAACAATAAGTCTCATGATAGAGACGTTACTGGGCCCGCTCGAGCAAAACGATGAACAACGGGAGGACCGTGACCGTGATCTCACCGTAAGGAAGGGGCCCTGCTGCTACTGCTACTACTTCTGTAGAGAAAAAAAATACGCCGCCCCCCCCCCCCCCCACGAAAAAAAAGGCAGGGAACTACAGGGGCAAAGGAGAGCAGTGTGTGCGAGCGGGGTGCGGAGGAGAGAGAGAGACTGCAATCACGGTTGCTGTCTAGGATGCTGTGGTTTCTGTTTCAGCGGCCTGCAGAGAGATCTGTATGAGCTGTTAAATAAAAGAGTTGTGACAAAGAAGACTGTGGGGGTTGGCATGTTAATCTTACACATTGTCTGTAAAAGATAACCCAGAGCAAGTCACTACCTGCTGCAACAGGAGAGCCAAATCAGGTGCTTTAATGACACTGTGGGAAAGCCTTGTGGATTTATTGTGAGTTTTATTTTCTAGGCTCAGGTACATGCTAATTTGAAAGGCAACATGGCCCCGGAAGGAACTTCTCTCTCTCAGGACTCCATTTACCCAGGTATGTATGATGCAGTAGCTCTCAAAACAGGCCTGTCTAGGTGGTCCTGGATTAAGTACTGCAGAATGCAACTAGATTTTCTGCTGATAGCTCCTAGTTTTAAATAGGACAACATTCTTTCAGAAATAAAAGACAAAGTCAAATATCTATTTGAGGTAAATAGACTTGAAGTTAGCTTTTGCTTTTAATTTTAAACATTAGCATATTGTTTTGTTGTTTTTGTTTTGGGATCACATTCCGCGTTGTTCAAGGCTTACTCCTGGCTCTGTGCTCTGGGATCCAGGGGGGCTCAGGGTTCATATGGGATGAGAGGATACAAGGCATTTGCCTTGTTTGGGGCAATCCTGGTTCCATCCTTGACACTGCATGTAGTCCTTAACACAACCGGGGTTCACTCCTGAGTGTAGGGTCAGGAATAGCTCCTAAGAACCACCAGTGTGCCTCCCCCCCTCCACACACAAATTTATTTTGTAGAAGTGATATTAGTTATAGAAATTGAGGCCCATTAAAATGTTATTTATCTTCAGAAAGGTTTTCCTATGTTTCTCTCTAGTACTTAACAGCTGTCTGGGAAATTTCAGATTTCAGGGTTTCTGGACCACCGTGAAGGCTGATTTACTTCTGGTTTATTCTTAATTCTTAGATGCAGTTCTTTGTTGTATTCTAAATTGAAGGATATTAAAGTACTGAGGGGTTTAATCAGGGCCCCACTTTTGGAAGGTACTAAACTCTTCAAAGCTCTGCTCTGTTCAGGAAGAGAACCCTTAACCCAAGCAGCCAGAGGTCAGAGCACTCCTCTAAGATTACTGCTTCCTTCAGTCTTGCCCTGATGATTTTCCATTACTTGTTAGTATTTTGGCCCCTATTAGATAATATTGCTCATTTGTTTCATCCACCTGCTCTAACTATCTTCCGACAAAGAATTGGTCTGTGTTTCTCACCATCCTTCTTTTGCAAAACCAAAATAATGGTAAGACCTCCTATGACTGTGAGTTAAGTGAATTCTGAGTTGCCTGCTGTGGAATAAGCCTTCGGTAAAGCTCATGCAGGCAGGTCTATTCTGCTCAAAATTATTTTTTCCTCACAGCTCCAATGGCAGCATTGTGTTTCAAATATTTGCTTATGTTTAATATTAAATTGGATTCTGGTGTTATTAGGGTTTTTTTTGTTTTTGTTTTTGTTTTTGAGCTACATACTTGGCAGTGCTTGGGCCATTACTTTTGGCTCTGCACACAAGTCTGGGGGACCATATGGGAAGCTGGGGATTGAACCTGGGTCAACTGCATGCAAAGCAAGTGTTCTACTTACTGTACTACCTCTCTAGTGCCCTGATGCAAGGATCTTTTAGGTCCTCTGCTTTTCTCGTGTGTTTGTTTTTCCTCTTAGAAAGATTTTTTCCTTCATTGGTCTTGTTTTTCTAAAATGATAGGCAGGTGTTGACCCCTTGAAAATTTCCCCTATGACACTCATTTTGTTTTTGTTTTGGGAGCCATGTCAAGCAGTGCTCAGGACTTACTCCTGGCTCTGTGCTCAAAGGTCTCTCCTGGCAGTGCTTGGTGGACCATTATGTGGTTGCAGAGACTGAGTCCAGGTTGACTGTGTGCAAGGTGACCACCATCCCTGTTGTTACTATCACTCCAGACCTGGCTCTCTGTGTGAATCTTGAGATTAATTCTGTTCTCTAGTTCTTATGGAAGGGAGAACTCCCTGGATGCCCCCAAGGTGATGTGGAGTCTGGGTCAGCGTCTGTGAGCAAGTGCAATAGAGATGCACCCTGACATAGCAATTCTTTTATTGACTCTGTAACAATTGCTTTCTCCTGATAGTGGCACATGTAATCATTGCCTTTGATATAAATTTTTAAAAATTGTTTTAACCGACCATGTCCATTTTTACTTTCCAGTGAGTCCTGAAAACCATGAAGAAATTTTAATGAGAGATGTTGAAAAAAAAGAGGAGACACAGTGGAATCAACAGATGCTTCAAGAAGAACATATTCAACCAGAGAACACATCTAAGTTGTCCAGGCGACAGCTGATACTGCGGCGAGGGCTTCTGTTCCTGGGGGTCATTTCAATCTTACTAGTGGGAATTTTAGTGAGAGTATATGTCAGAACTGAATGATGAGGTCAGGGCATAGTGATTAAGTGAACTTACAAATAATTCATAGGCCAAAGGTAGGAGATCAGTTTCAGTCAATGGATTCAACTGTGCCCATGGATTTCAAGAACTGACAGTGTGAAGTATTACATTCGAGTATTAACTGATCCACCTCTGTTTCAAGCATCAGATTGCATCAGTTGATGGCTTTGATATTTCTTCTATTTACTGGTTTGTTTTTTAGATACAAATGCATATACTTCTTTTGAATTCTTACTGTTTGAAATATTTAAAATATATTTTACAATACATCTTCCCTGTGCCTTAAATTATTATTCAGCGGGAAACTGATATTAAGTAATGCTCATCTGGGGGTCCATACCATATTGCCATACCATATTTGATAGGGTTCAAATATGGTAACACATACAAGGGCGATTAGAGGTCACCCCAAAAGCCTCTTTCCCTCTCGGAAAGCCTGGTAAGCTACTGAGAGTATTCCACCCGCACAGCAGAGCCTCGCAAGCTATCCGTTGTGTATTCAATATGCCAAAATCAGTAATTACTATTGGTCTCATTCCCCTGACCCTGAAGGCGTCACTGATATGGCAGCATTGAGAAGGATGAGACAGGAGAGGCCAATAAAATCTCAAGGCCAAACTAGGCTGCCACAACGAAGAAAGACAAAAATGATCGTCTGTACTTTCAATGCACGTATGCATCCATCGAGGACCTGATGATACAAGTGCGAAAGATCAAGTACGACATCATTGGTCTGACCGAGACAAGAAGGCACCAATCTCATCATGCCGTTTTCGAAACTGGAGAAGAATTGTTCCTCGGAACATACGATAAAAGAGGTGTCGGAGGCGTTGGTGTCCTTGTCAACACAAACTTGGCCATGAGCATTGATTCATTTGAATGCCTAACAACCTGAATCGAACATTTACATTTGAATAGATGTGGCTCACTGCTGGCAGTTTCTATCTTCGTTGTCTATGCGCCAACATCCAGTTATGATGAAGGAGAAATTGAAAAGTTCTACATGGAGCTGGAGAAGTTCTATAAAGACCACACCTTCTACAAGATCATTGTGGGTGATTTTAATGCCAAGATAGGACCGAGAAGATCAGCCGAAGAACTTCACATTGGGACTCACGGCCTAGAATGGAACGAACAGGGTTAGAGACTGTGTGAGTTCATCATGTCGAGCAAGATCATCCATGGTAACTCAAGATTCCAGAAGGCCGAATCTAAACGTTGGACATGGGAGTCTCCCGGTGGACGACTCCACAACGAAATAGACTGCATCATATTCAATCAACGGTTTTGCCTGACCGATGTTGCTGTTGTCCCAAAATTCCAAATGGGATCAGACCACAGTCTCCTTCGTGCAAAATTCTACTTCACAGAGCGGGGAGAAAGGGCTGCAAAGTTTAAAAAGAGAACTCCCAAAACGACCACCAACTGGGAGCTCTTTGGCACTACTGCGGCAACATGGGAAGATGCCATTGTTGACAACATTGACGAGGAATATGATTGACTGGTTCAGCACCTCCATGATTGTGCGAGAAAAGCTAAGAGAGAGATAGCCACAAAAAAAAAAAACATACCTGTCTTCGAAAACTCTTGAGCTTATTCACCAACGTGGTTTGGCGCATGCATAAGGCAATCGCAAGCGAACGTCTGAGCTTGCAAAGCAGTGCAGAGATGTGATCAAGGAAGACCTCAAAGAGAGAAGAGCAGAAGTGCTGGTAGATGCGGCAGAAGCCGGGAAAAGTATTCATAACGCCCACCTGTCCTTCGCCAACTACAAGACCAAGATGACTGCCCTCCGACGTCCTGATGGATCTATTACATCTTCCAGAACGGCAATGGAGAAGATTATCCATGACTTCTACTCAAATCTCTTTGATAGCCATGTCCACCTGCCGACATACCAAATTCCACAGAATGGATATGTCGTTCCCAATGTTCTCCCTTCCAAAATCTGACACGCCATTTCGTCAGTAAAGAAGCAAACAGCACCCGGCCCAGACAAGGTCAGACCTGAACACCTGAAGAACCTGTCATCAGTACTCATCAATACACTGGCTCGGCTCTTCACATGCTACCTGTCTGAATGCAAGGTTCCGTCCCAATGGAAAACCAGCAGGACCGTACTACTGTTCAAGAAGGGAGACATCCATGACATTGGCAACTATCGCCCCATCTGCCTATTGTCTGTCATCTACAAGTTGTTCACTCGAGTCATCCTGAATAGGATTGGCAGAACACTAGATGAAGGAAAACTATGCGAGCAAGCCGGGTTCCGCAAAGGATTCAGCACCATCGATCATATCCACACAATAACCAAGCTCATTGAGGTTTCTCGGGAGTTCAAGATGCCGCTCTGTCTAATGTTCATTGATTTAAAGAAGGCCTTTGATTCTGTTGAGATGGAAGTGGTCATTGAAGCACTAGCCAATCAGGGCATTCAAACTCAATACATCAAGATCCTCCGTGAGCTGTATTGCGGATTCACTACCAGGATCTCACCATTCTACAAAGAAGTAATCATTGATGTCAAGAGAGGGGTTCGGCAGGGGGATACCATTTCACTGAAACTCTTTAGTGCCACCCTCGAGAACATCATGCGACGACTAGAATGGGAAGGAATAGGAGTGAAGATAGATGGTCGGCAACTATACCACCTCCGCTTTGCTGATGACATTGTTTTAATAACACCAAACATTAGCCAAGCAGCACAAATGCTGGCAGACTTTGACTGTGAGTGTGGAAAGGTCAGACTACAGCTGAATCTTACGAAGGCAATGTTTATGAGAAACAGCCTCATTCCTGATGCCCCATTTGCTCTCAATGGAAGGTCCATCTCCAAATGCAACAGCTATGTGTACCTAGGTCAAGAAGTCAACATGACAAATTATCTGGCACCCCTAGCTGCGCAGGAGGAAGAGAGTGGCTTGGAACGCCTTCAAGAGCATCGAAGAAATAGCTAAGAGGACAAAAAACCTCTGGCTCCAGGCACATCTCTTTGATTCCACTGTTCTTCCTGCATTAACATATGCCTCAGAGACCTGGGTCCTACGCAAACAGGATGAGAATGCTATTCGGGTCTCCCAAAGAGGAATTGAAAGAACTATGCTTGGAATATCACGTTTCACTCAAAAGAGAGAAAGAATCTGGAGTTCTGACCTCTGTCGACGATCAAGAATCAGGGACGCTGTCTCGTTTGCCAAGGTGTCGAAAATCAGATGGGCTGGTCATGTAATGAGATTTAAAGACAACCGCTGGACTAGAGCTGTTACTGACTGAATTCCACAGGATGTCAAAAGACCGCGTGGCCGCCCACCTACCAGATGGTCAGACTTCTTCATCAAGATCATGAACGATGGGGGGGTGGGGGGAAATGGGCACTGGTGGAGGGATGGGTATTTGATCATTGTATGACCGAAACCCAAGCACAAAGATTTGTAAATCTACAACTGTACCTCATGGTGCTTCACCAACATAGCCGACCCGAGTTCGATTCCTCCGCCCCTCTCGGAGAGCCCGGCAAGGTACCGAGAGTATTCGATATGCCAGACACAGTAACAACAAAGTCTCCAATGGAGACGTTACTGGGCCCGCTTGAGCAAATCGATGAGGGCTTCACTAATAAAAAAAAAAATTAAAAAAATAAAACTCAATCAAGGATAAAAAAAAAAAATCATAAACGATCGGTTTGAGACTCTTTGTGTTCCTAGAGGGAACAGACACCATTGGGCTACACTAGCACGCGACAGGGACAAATGGAAACGTTACTGGCGCCTGCTCGAGCAAATCGACGATTAACGGGAAGTCAAGTGATCAAGTGATCATCTGGGGGTCCAGATCTCAGATCTCAGGGACTGTGGGCATGGGGATATTTTAAAAACTAAAAGATAGAGGTGTAGGTTCTGGTACAATGAGTAGGAAACTTTGCATGCTGGTTTTATCCCCAGCACCACATATTTCCCCCAAGCCCTGCCAAGAGTGATCCATGACACCACCAGATATGGCCGCTCCTCAAAAAAAAAAAAATTCTAGAGAGGTAAAGAAAACAGATTATTATGAAAAAAGGAGCCAGATGACATTAGTTAGCCTGTTTCCTTACCACTTAACACTGGTCATAAAATCTCCTGGGACTCAGGGACTAGCACAATGAGAAATGAAACTATTGCTTAAGGGCCCCTGGGAACAGGTACTTTTTTTTTTATGGAATGGTGGGAAACTTGCAGAAAGAAATGGAGGGTTTGAGGGGCAATCAGACCTATGAAGAAGTCTGACCTTTTCCTTTTTGTAGTGGCAGGGGCAGGGCATTGGGCCACACTCAGTGGCACTCAGGAGCCATTTCTGGCACTATACTCAGGAGTGACCCACCGGTGGTGCTCAAAGGAACACACACAGTGCTGGGGATGGAACTGGGGTCAGTGGCAAGAAGGCAAGTGCTTTATGTTCTGTTATCTCTCTGGCTCCCTTTCCAATTAGCTTGTAGGGTTGGAAAGCAACTCAAATGAAGAGGTTCCCGAAAGAGGAGGTAGGGTCCTAGGTAGCTCCTGTTCATCTTCTGTCTGTTCTGTTTATGTCTTTCGAAAGGCACAGGTCTTTTTTTTGTTTTTTGTTTTTGTTTTTTTGGGTGCCAGACATGGTATATCCAGAAGGTCCTATCTCATAAGGGTGTTATGATTATCGGGACTGAGTCATAGAAGAGCAGTAGAGCACTTGCCTTGCATGCAGTAGACTTGGGTTTGATTCCCAGCACCCTATGTGATCTCCTAAACCCTACAGGAGGGATCACTGAGTGCGGAGCCAGGAGTAAATTCAGAGCACTGCTGGGTGTGCATTTCCCCTGTCTCTCCCCCCCCCCCAAAAAAAAATTAAAAAATCAAAAGGATGTGGTTTGGGCTGGGAATGTAGCTCAGGGGTTAAAGCAGTTACCTTGCATGTGTCAGGCCCTCAGTTCCATCACAGGCACCACACACACACACACACACACACACACACACACACACACGGATGAGAAGAGTTGTTGTTGTTAGGTCACACCTGGGGTGATCAGGGCTTATTCCTGACTCTGAGCTCAGGAATCACTACTGTCGGGGTTCAGGGGACCATTTGTGGAGGCTGAGGATTAAACCTGTGTCAGTCATGTACAAGAAGTACCCTACCCATTGTACTATTTCTCCAGCCCCCGACTTGCTATGCAGGACCAACTGGGATGCTGGGGATTGAACCTTGATTGGCTGTGTGCATAGCAAGTGCTATCTCTCCAGCTCCAAGGGGAAAAGCCCTTTTTGTTTGTTGGGTTTTGGGGCCACACTCAGTGGTACTCAGGGATCACTCCTGGTGGGGACCATATGGATTGCTGGGGGATGGAAGCCAGGCTGGCTACATGAGAGGTAAGTGTTTTATACTATTCTGGAGCCCCTAGGGATGGCTGAGGTCTTAATGAATGTTTCCTTTCTCCTGGCCTTAGAAAATAATTGGGGGAGTAGTGAAAATTCATACAACCACAGAAAATTTCTGGGCTTGGGAAGATAGTAGGAGCGGCTAATGTCTCAACAGCAGCCTGGGATTAGTTACGGTAGTTGAATTCAGCCTTCCCAAACCCACACAGGCCCGGGCATATGAAGTCTAGCATATAAAGTCTGGGACGGTCAAAAAGAGATCTAGGCTTATTCTCTGTCCTGAAAAAAAAAAAAGATCATAAACAAACAGAAAAAAATCAACAATTGTGAGCAACGAAATACCCATCAGCCCGTTTTTTCCAGGGCCACCTTAAGGCATCTTTACCCTCACTGAAATTCTTTTGGGGTGAGTGGAGTGATTTTCCAAGAATCAAAAGTAAAACTTGTATTAATAGTGACCCTCATGATTGAGGGCCTGGGCCTGGCAGCCTGAGGCGTCAGCGATGCTCCTCCTGACCACCCCTAACTTTTCAGGAGTATCCTGGCAGGTTTGCTGCTTGAGAGCCAGAGGAGAGACACAGTGAAAGGCTGAGAGTTTCATTCACCAGCAGGCCAGCAGTTTGGAAGATGGTGGGCTCGTGCTCAGGGCAATCTCCTGCAAGGTGCAAGGCAGAAGTTTCTAGAGGGACAGAGAGCAGGGAAGAAAGCCTGTATCTGCGGGTTTAGATCAATCAGGCTGGGATCTCCTTCCAGGGCTGGCCCCCTGAGGCACACCTCATCTCTTCTACACTTTGTCTCAGAGTAAGGACAAAATGAGGAACATTGTTTTCTTTTGGTGGAGCAGAGAGAAGAAGTGGCTGTTCCCAATGTCTCTGGGTGGCTTTCAGTTGCCTGCATTCCCTGAGCTTTCCCCTAGCCCGGGTGGAGCTGGGACCGACCAAGACTTGCCCAAACCTGCTGCTGGCACGGAACGCAGCCTCGAAGACAGCCAGAAACTGAGGCAGAGAGAGGAGCGCCAAAGGGAGCGCCTGCGAAATGCCCATCTTGCTGCTTCCTGGTCATCACAAAACGCCCCTCACGTGGCCTCCCACTTCGCAAGGACTCGGACCCGGGACCTTTCCTTCCGCAGCCCTCGAGGGCTTCCCAGCCGGTGGGCGAGCGGGTGCGACCGTTGGCTGCGCGGCCGGCCGGGGCGGGGCCGCGGCAGGCCCCTCCCACCGCGGTGGCTCCTTCCCGGCCGCTGCTACCTCCAGAACTCCGGCCGCGCGGCATGGAGCCCCCGGTGGCCGCCGACGCCGGGACCCCTGCCGTCTCCCGGGCCGCCCCCCGCCCGCGCGCCCGCCTGTGCAGCCTGCGGGGCTTGCTGGGGCCCGAGAGACGTCGGGAGGCGGCGCGGCTGGCGGCGATCGCGGTCCCCGTGGTGAGTCCGCGCGCCCGACGGCCGGAACCGCGGGCAGGGGCGCGGGCGGGGGGCGCGGGGGTGGCGGGCGCGGTCCCCGAGGTGAGTCCGCGGGTGTGGGGCGGGGTGGGGGGGCGGCGGTCGGAGCCGGCACGGAGCCGCGGGGGATGCGGGGGGCGGCGCGGGGGGCGGCGGGCACAGTCCCCAGGGTGAGTCCACGCGCACGACGGCCGGAGGAGCGGGCTGGGGGCGTGGTGGGCAGCGCGGCCCGACGCTCTTTCCTCCCCTCCCAGTTCTTCGCGCAGTTGATGATCTTTCTCATCAGCGTCGTCAGCTCCATATTCTGCGGACATCTGGGGAAGGTCCAGCTGGATGCGGTGTCCCTCGCTGTATCGGTAGGTATACAGTCTGTGCCTTTAGATTTGAAGGGAAATCATGGCGACTGTTGAGAGAAAAGAAAGTTTTGGGCACTCCTAACCATCCGTTTATGGAAGCGTTCGTGGTGAGCTGCAATTACAGGGGGGAGCAGGTATCTCAAGGATCCTGAAGCGACTGGGTCGATTGTGCGGGTTGAAAGAAGAGCTGCATGATTTTCCTAGTATGAAATTAAACCCAAGAATTGTTAGGAAGTCTCGGTGATCTGCTATCAGCCAGACGTGCGCGGCTCGTTAAGGTGACGCTATTTCACTCATGTAATAAAGTGCTTATCTTGGTCAATGAGTAAATACATCCGCTTTGGAAGTCAAAAGAAGGGCACACTTGAGATTTATTATCCACGGAGTGGAAAGTTCCCTCTCTGCATTTCATCCAGGTTTTCAAAGAAATTGAAAAATACTGCTGGGGAGGGCAGGTGATCTTTTTTTTTTTCTCTCAGCAAGCGTCTCCTCTTTTACTAACCCAGGAGAACAGGAGTATTGCGGGTGGAGTGGGGTGCAAGGGCACCAAGTTTCTCTTAAGTGGCGATGACCTAGATATGTGGGCTTGGACATTTTTCCATTGTTACAAAGTTACAGTTTATCATACTTGAGGTTCAGACACAATGTTCCAATAATCTCTTCACCAGAGTCCATTTCCCACCACCAATGAATGACCCCAGTTACCCTCCCATTCCCTGGACTGTCTCTGTGGTCTGCACTTAATACCTCCTTTCAGCACTCCTCCAGAGGGGCCACTTTCCTCTACCAAAGTCTTATTTGTACCTTCCCCTGACTGTTGCCTTTGGGCATGTTATTCCTCTACTGCGTTTCTTTATAGATCTCACATAACGTGGAATTTCGGTGCCTGTACCTCTCTTGCCTGTACCTCTCTCTCAGACTGATTTCACTCAGCATGATACTTTCTAGAACCATCTACATAGCAAAAAATTGTATGACTTCATGTTTTCTTATGGCTGAGTGATATTCCACTGTGTAGATGTACCATAGTTTCTTTATCCAGTCATCTGTTCTTTTTTTTTTTTTTTGCGGGGGCCTTTTGGGGTCATACCTGGCAATGTACGGGGGTTACTCCTGGCTCTGCACTCAGGAATTACTCCTGGCGGTAGCTCAGGGGACCATATGGGATGCTGGGAATCAAACCGGGGTCAGCCGTGTGCAAGGCAAACGCCCTACCCGCTGTGCTATCACTCCAGCCCCCAGTCATCTGTTCTTGGGCACTTGGGTTGTTTCTAGATTTTGGCTATTGTGAATAGTTCTGTAATGAATATATGAATTGCAGATATATTTTCTTATTGTGTTTTGGGGGTATATTCCAAGGAGTGGAATTGCTAGATCTTCTGGAAGTTCAGTTCCTAGTTTGTTGAGGAATATCCATATTGTTTTCCAAAAGGCTGGACCAGCTGACCCACAAGCAGTGAATAAGAGCCCCAGCCCCATCCCCCATCCTGCCTGCATCCACACCAACACTGGTTGTTGTCTTTTTTAATTAAAAAAAAATTTTTTTTGATGTGTGCCAGTCTTTCTGGTGTAAGGTGATATCTCATTGTTTTGAGGGTTTATTTTGTTGCTTTTTTTTTTTTTTGGCCACACCGGTGATGTTCAGTGGTCACTCTTGGTTCTGCACTCAGTATTCACTCCTGGCAGTGCTCAGGGAATCATATGGGAATCGAACCTAAGTTGGTCACATGCAGAGCAAATGTCTTACCCACTGTACTGTCACTCTGGTTCCATCTCGTTGTTTTGACTTTCGTTTCCCTGGTATATGATCTTTTTTATTTGATTTGCAAGTATTTTGTTGAGGATTTTGTATCTGTTCATCAGGAATATTGGTCTGTACTTTTCCTGCTATCTCTCTCTGCTTTTGGTATCAGGATAATGTTTGTCTCAGGAATTGGGAGTGTTTCTGTTTCTTCAATTTCTTGAAAGAGCTTCAAAGAGATTGGCAATATCTCTTTAAAAAACATTTGGAAGTTTGGAAGAACTCACTAGTGAACCTTGTCTGATCCTGGGATTTTGTTTTTAGGGAGACTTTTGATTACCATTTCAATTTCTTCAGTAGTAATTGGTGTTCCATATCTTCTTGATTCAGCCGTGGGAGATTATGAGATTGTAAGAATTTATTTCTTTTAGGTTCTCTCATTTCATTGCATATCTGTTGATTTTTAAAAATAATTCCGGATAATTTTTTAAATTTCTGTGATAGGGCCAGAGCGATAGTACAGTACGTAGGGCGTTTGCCTTGCACATGCCCGACCTGGGTTCAATCCTCAGCATTCCATATGGTTCCCCATGCACCACCAGGAGTAATTCCTGAGTGCAAAGCCAGGAGTAACTCCTGAGCATCACTGGGTGTGACCCAAAGAGCAAAAGCAAAAATAATAATAATAATTTTTGTGATATCTGTTATCACACCACCCTTTTCATTTCTGGTTCAGCTTATTATGGTTCTCTCTTGCATTTTTTTGAGTCTTGCTAGTGGTTTTTCTAGCTTGTTTATTTTTTTCAAAGAATGATCTTGGTTTCAATGAGCTTTTGGAATTTTAGAGATTCAAATTCACTTATTTCTCCTCGTTTTATTATTTCTTTGCACCTACCTGCTTTGGACTCCCTTTGTTGACCTTTTTCCACTTTCTTAAGTTGTGCTGTTAGGTTATTTGTGTGGATCCTTTCTTCCTGATAAATGCTTGCCACTTTTCCTGTGTCCCATAAGTTCTGGTAGCTGTGTCCTCATTCTCATTCATTTCCAGAAATCTTTTGATTTCCTCTCTGATTTTCTTTTACCCACTGGTTGTTCAGTGATACGCTGTTTAATTACCAGGTATATGAGTTATTTTTCATTTCTATTTTTTATTAACTTTTATCTTCTGTGCATCATGGTCTGAGAAGATAGATATGATTTTCATTCTTCTGACTTTATGAAATGATGTTTTATTGCCCCATATGTGTTTTATCTTGGAGAATGCATATACATATTCATATATATCTATCTATAGATATATATCTATAAATAGATAGATAGATATGCTAAAGCCCCTCACTTCCATTTCTTCCTTCAGAAACATTATTTCCTTACTGAGTTTCACTCCAGTTGATCTATCAAGAGATAATAGAGTGGTGTTGAAGTCTCCAACTATTATTGTGCTGCTATCAATATCTCTTCCTTCAGGTGTTTTAAGTATTTTGTTGTGGGCTCAGACATTTTATTTATTGTATTGATATACTGTAATTAAATTTTTTTCTTTTGTGGTGAGAGGTTGGGTCACACCTGGCTTTGCTCATAGTCTACTGTAGGATAACATTGGTTTGTCCTTTCTCCCTGGCTGCAGGGAGCTTAGGTTTATTGGGTTACACCCATAATAGTGCTCCCAAGGCATTTCCATTCCTCTGTTTATCTTTAACCTCCTCTCTGTGCTCTGCTTCCCCAACCGGTTAATCACCTTTATCCCCAAAGCAGTACCTACAACATGTAAAGTCAAAATCCTCGTTAATCTCTGGATTTGTATTTGTAAGTGGAATACTGATTTTCTCCTTCCCTTATGTCCTTTTGCATAGTTTACTTCAGAGCAATGTCATTTTTTGTATAGACACAGGGAGACAGTTAATGCTATGCTTTTGTAACTTCGGAGCTAATTGACTCAGCTAATATTCACTCTGGGGCATCTGTTTTCCCAACTTAAGCCTCCCGACTTAGTTCCTAGCACTCCAAAAGCAGGGTCCCGACGAAGGAACTGGATGGACCCAGGCCAAGTTGTGAGCTACCCTGGCATCGAAATGGCCAGGACAAGTGTATAATACTTAACTATAGGTTAAAAGCACGATCATGGACACATTCTATTATGATCCATAGACTAACAACTGGATTAGGATCCTGCTAGGGTTAGGAAAGACTAATCTGGCCTGAGCACTATAGTCTGGGATCTATAGCAAGATGTCCCCAGGAAGAGCCACCCTATAAGCTTAGTGTATCTTACAGTGTCCATACAAAATGACTGATATTATTAAGAAGTAGAATTAAGATAAATGTTTGAATGGTTGTTGGACTAAGGAAAGGAGAAACACACCCCTAGATGTTTTGCCCTTGAGCGGATCTCCTAGCTGCGGGAGATCTTTGTCTTTTCTTAGAAGAGCTTCCCTGGGAAGGAAGGGCTCTCATATGTTGACTATGCTACCTGACCTAGGCCTAGTTGCTCCCCTAGCCTTGAGAGGTTGGGCTGGAGACCAAGGCTGCGAGACAGTGCAGAGAGACTAGCATGGGGGACAGGAGGAGACAGGAATGAGGGGCAGTGTGAGAGTGTAATGGAGCACTTAGTGAGACTGAAACCAGGCACGTGGGGAGAATGGAATAAACTGCAACTGATACCAACCAGCCTGGTGGCCCTTTTTGCTCCTTCATGCGTCTGTTGGCGGCTGTGGCAGGCCGGGGTAGAGAAGTGACTCATGGCCACTGAATGCACGTGGTGGGTGAGAGAGTGCATGCTGCCCCTGCCACTGCTCACGTGTTTATTTTGTAAACTTACAAAGTCTACTAAGTGCAGTGGTTGGGACTCCTTAGTAGTGCTCATAAAGCCATATGATCAGGTCAAATCTGGGCCTCCCACAGTCACAGCATGTGCTCCAGCCTTTTAGCTGTCTCCTTCTATTTTTAATGTTTTGAGGAGCTCCTATACAGCATGGTTTTGATTTACATTTCATGATGATTAGAAAGGCTGAATATCTTGGTATTGGCATGTGTCCAGGTTTTTCTGCCATTTATTTATTTATTTATTTATTTTTTCTTGTTGGATCACACCCGGCATTGCACAGGGGTTACTCCTGGCTCTGCGCTCAGGAATTACCCCTGGCGGTACTCAGGGGACCATATGGGATGCTGGGAATTGAACCCGGGTCAGCCGCGTGCAAGGCAAACGCCCTACCTGCTGTGCTATTGCTCCAGCCCCTTTTCTGCCATTTAAAAATGGGATTATTTGTTATTTCGTTGTTGAGTTCTTTATGTATTTTGGATAGTAGCCCCTTGTCAAATGTGATTCGTAGATCATGTCTCACTTGGTAGGCTGCTCTTCATTTTATTGGTAATTTCTTTTGCTAGGCTGGAGATTTTTATTGAGTTCCCACTGGTTTACAGGACTATGGGGTTTCAAGAGTAGAGCATCACACTGCTCTCTGTGTGTGCCTCACCAACCTAGCACCAAAGTCCTAGTGCCATTCACACAGTCACATCGATCCCCTCAGCCCTCTTCTCCCACTTCTTTCCCCTTCCATTTTGGTAGCCACCATATTTTTAGAATCTATGAATTGTTTTTGTGTTTTGTTCATTTTATTGTGGATAATGGGTGATGCAGGAAGCAAGAGAGAAAGCAAGAGAGAAAAGAGTGCTTCCATTTCTCTGCTGGACACACCTTCACCTGGGGAAATTCCTGGCTTGGGTCAGGACTGGTAAAGCTGCTACTAGCACCTACCCAGCACGGACCTGAGCGTCCCACCAGCCCTATGAAGCAGCCCAGGTACCTTAGGCATACTTGTTCTGTGCGACCTGGGAGATGATTCCTGCCAGCCGATTTCTCAGGCAGCCGTGGACTCAGACTGGGGTGAGGATTTGCTCTTTGCAGAAAGGGAGAGTCAGCCCTGATCTCCGCACAAGCATTCCAGGAATACTGCTTTCCCTTGAAGAAAAGTATTTCAGGAGTGATGTTGGTGGGCTCCATGGGTTGCTCATATGATGGTGGAGGAGAAGACGGTTACTTTCTCCCGATCCACCTCTGCCACACAGGACCCAGGGTTTCTGGGTTCTTGTCTCACTTGCAGAGAGAAATTTCAGGAGTAGACAAACAGTGAAATAAATAGATTTTATTTGGAGAGCTTTTGAGGGGGAGAGAGAGAGCATGAAAGTACACATCTCAAGAGGGGAGATGCGGGTGACACGGGTGCTCCGGCGCCACATTTATTCGGCCGTGTGGGTACAGCAGCACATGGGCTCGGGCAGCATATGCACACCCTTCCTTTGTTCAAGGTGTCTTTTATAGGCTCTTCTCGGGTTATCTTGGTCTGGAAATTCTCGAGTCTTCTCTCGAGGCTGGATCCCATTTTAATCAGTTTAAGGGAGAGGTCTTGAGGGTTTGAGGAGGGGTCTAACCTCCTCAGGGTCCGCCAAGGTCTTATCAGGTCTGTTTTCTGTATCCACAGGGTATATCAGTCAGGATTTTCCTCCCAGAAGTTCTACTACTGACCTAAGTTTTATTGCTGAGGGCCTTTTCCTGTTGACATGCCTACATCAGGAGGAGGCAAAAGAGTGGAGCAAAATAGTTTTGTTTAAAGATTTTTACTTAGAGAAATGCAAGGGGAGAGAAAGGTGCGTGTTCTAGAGAACACGACTTCTCCAAAGGGGGAAAAGCCAACCTAGACCGGTTTTTGGGAAAAGCTCATAAATAGTTTCTTCGAACTACCTTGGTCTGGAGTCCTCTGCATACATTAAAGTTAATCTTTAACTCAGTCTTGCTATAAGGGGAAACAACCTTGGACTGTTTGACTTTGGGGCCACACCCGACAATGCTGAAGGATTACTCCTGGCTCTGCACTTAGGAATCACTCCTGGCTGTGTCAGGGAACCATATGGGATACTGGAGATTGAACCTGGCTTGGCCACATGCAAGGCAAGTGCCCTACCCAAGAGTACTGATGTTGGTGGGCCCATGGGTGACTTATGTGAAGCGAGAAGGACGGTAAGTTTCTCCCCATCACCTCTGCCATCGGGGACCAGGGTTTCTGGGTTCTTGTCTTGCAGAAAGGAATTTCAGGAGTAGACAAGCAGTGAAATAAGTAGATTTTATTTGAAGGGTTTTTTGGGGGGGGAGGAGCAAGAGAGAGAGAGACTCAAAGAGACTCAAGAGAGAACGTGGGCTTCTCCAAGAGTGGAGAGAGCTTCTAGACACATCCCAGAAAGCATGAAAGTACACATGTCAAGAGGGGAGATGCGGGCGACACATGTGGACGCAAGCAGCACATGGCTTGGGCAGCATATGAGCACCCTTGCTTTGTTCAAAGGTGGCTTTTATAGGCTCTTCTTGGTTGTCTTGATCCGGAACTTTCTGAAGTCTTCTTGGGGCTGACTCACTAAAGTTAAGCGGATTAAGGGAGAGGTCCCAGGATTTGAGGAACTTCATGGGGAGGGGTCCAATCTCCTCAGGGTCCCTGCTGGAGATTTTATCAGGTCTGTTTTCCTGTATCCACCGGGTGCATCAGCCTTAGAATTTTTGTTGACCTGAGTTTCATTGCCTATGGCCTTTCCCTGTGTACCTGCCTACATCAGTACTATCTCTCGAGCCCCCCAAACCTTGGACTCTTAGTCATGCTATCATGATCATCCCGTTGTTCGTCGATTGCCTCGAGTAGGCACCAGTAACGTCTCCTTCGGTCTAGCCCTGAGATTCTAAAAAGTGTCACATTCAAGGCTCTTTCAGGGTTAGGAGAATGAGACCCATCATTGTTACTGGTATGTGGTATATTGGGTATGCCACGGGGAGTTTGCCAGACTCTGTCGTGTGGCAGGTTACATTCGGTAGCCTGCCAGGTTATCCAAAGCAAGAATGAGATAATTACCTTTTTTTTCATTTTTTATAATTTTATTTATTGAATCACCATGAGAGCAGTTACAAAGCTTTCGGGTCTAAGTCTCGGTCATACAATGAAGCACCCTTATGTTCACCAGTGCCCATTCTCCACCCCCAACAACCCCAGTATATCCCCATCTTACACCCTCCCCCCACCTTTGGGGCAGATGATTTCCACATTACTCTCTCTCTCTACTTTGATCACATTCAATATTTTGACACCAGACCCACCATTATCATTTGGGATTTTACGCAACACTCAGACCTGCTGAAAAGGCAACAGTAGACAATTTGTGTTCTATTGCTGGTTATGAATAACATGATGTCACGTGGCTGCAGTAGGGCCATATGATTTTGAAAATCTGAAATTTTAACACTTAAATCTGGAGGGATTTCTGCCAAAACCTGCTGGGTTCTGATATTTGCTCCTGAGTCTCTGGGATCATGGCTGTTAAGCAGCTTGATCAGGAGCCAGAAAGGCCATTTGTGGGTGATGACTTGGGGTCTCGTTGGGGTGGGAAGGACAGGACCGGCCCTTTCCCCCCTGGGGTGGCCCAGCGACAGTAACCTACTGCATGGTCTGGATGCATTTCTGCCAAAAACCTCTGGGTTTTGAGATTTGTTTCTGAATCTCTGGGATCATGGCCGTTACGCAGCTTGATCAGGAGTCAGAGAGAGGCCGTTCGTGGGCGATGACTTGGGGTCTCGTTGGGGTGGGGAGGACAGGCCCGGCTCCACCCCCATCCCGTGAGGCCCAAAATGTCTCGTCACTGAAGGCCCAAACCTGACTGTCCAATGGCCTCTGGAGGATGACGGCCACCGAGCCACCAGGGGGAAGCAGGCGGAGGGACAACACCCTTTCCCCCCTGGGTTGGCCTGGCGACAGTAACCTACTGCATGGTCCGGACGCATTTCTGCCAAAAGCCTCTGGGTTTCGAGATCTGTTTCTGAGTCTCTGGGATCATGGCCAGAGCACGAAACCTATTCTCATCTGGGTTGGCCCAGCACTGGTAACCTACTGCAGGGACCGGATGCATTTCTGCCAAAAGCCCTGTGTTTCGAGATTTGTTTCTGAGTCTCTGGGATCATGGCCATTAAGCAGTTCAATCAGGAACCAGAGAGGCCATGCCTCCAATTATATAGCTGAGCCGGAGGTGGTTTGTGGGTGTGTCTCCCACATACCTAACTTTTGGCTGTTTACTTTCTTGGTAAACTTTGCCCCAAATTTTTGGGGTCTGGCCAAAGGCACAGCAACAATTTGGGGGCATCTGGAAGTCTGAAGGCGCCATCAAGTTGCTGATGCACTCGCCTCACAGGTACAGATTGACCTGCTGGTGGCACCATACCCCATCCAGATGGTTTTGTCCTTAAGTTAATAATTGACAAGGATAGTTGCAGATATAATTTGATAATTGACAAGGATACTAGAAAACTATTCTATCAGAGATAAGAAATTTTGGGGATGGGGAGAGAGAGAGGGAGGGAGAGGGAGTGAGGAAAAGTGCCTGCCATAGAGGCATATGGGTGAGGGTGGGGTGGGAGGGAAACTGTTGGGGATAGTGGTGATGGGAAATTTACACTGGTGAGTGAATGGGTGTCGGAACATTATATGTCTGAGGCCCAACCCAGTCATGAATAACTTTGCAACTGTAACTCACTGATTCAATTTTAATAATTAATATATTTTAATTAAAAAAAAACAATTGTCCAAAAGACATCAGAACTGCGGGGGGGGGAGGGGGGGGTTGCAGGCGGACAGCCTTTGTAGAAAATGATATTTCTTGGAGATGAATTGTCATAGGTCCTCGGCTGAAAGAAGCTTGTCTGTCACTGTCTCACTTGGAAGCCCCCCAGTTCCATGCTAGGTGCTGCCTGTTGTTCCTTGCAGGTTGTGAATGTTACTGGAATTTCAGTTGGAACCGGCTTGGCCTCTGCTTGTGACACGCTAATGTCGCAGGTAAGAATCATCCCTTGCTACAAACCATTTTTTTGTTGTTGGTCGCCTTTCATATTGGAAAAGATTGGGAGACGCCCTCTCCTCTGCTCTTGCATTGTTTTGCCTTGATTTGTCACATACCCTGCTGAATACCTATAACAAATCATCATGAGCAACTTTGTAAATCACAGTATTTAAATAAAGTGTGCAGGGAAAACTTGTACATATGTAGGCCTTACCCATTTTATAAGGTAAAGGTAAAGGCCCTCCCGTTGATCGTCGATTTGCTCGAGCGGGCCCAGTAACGTCTCCATTGGAGACTTTGTTGTTACTGTGTGTGGCATATCGAATACTCTCGGTAGCTTGCCGGGCTCTCCAAGAGGGGCGGAGGAATCGAACTCGGGTCGGCCATGTTGGCCGCTTGTAAGGCAAACGCCCTACCACTGTGCTATCGCTCCCTATTTTATAATATATTATATAAATAATTCCAAATTATATTAGCATGGAACTTTTTTTTCTTTTTGGGTCACAACGGGCAATGCGCAGGGGTTACTCCTGGCTCTGTACTCAGGAATTCCTCCTTGCGGTGCTTGGGGGACCATATGGGATGCTGGGAATCGAACCCGGGTTGGCTGAGTGCAAGGCTGTCCTGTACTGTCACTGCAGCCCCTTAATAAAGTTTTATTAATGACAATTAAGACATGATTATTACCATAATGAGATCCAAGTAGCACTGTGTCACTGTCCATCCGTTCATCTCTTTGCTCGAGCGGGCACCAGTAACGACTCCATTGTGGGACTTGTTGTTACTGTTTTTGGCATATCGAATACATCACAGGGAGCTTGCCAGGCTTTGCTGTGCAGGCGTGATACTCTCAGTAGTTTGCAGGGCTCTCCGAGAGGGGTGGAGAAATCAAACCTCAGTAGACCTGGGTTGGCCCAGCTTGGCCCGGGTCAGCTACATGAAAGGCAAATGCCCTACCCGCTGTGCTATTGCTCTTGCCACCATGCAACTGTTCTTACCCCACATGGACACTCTCCATAGCACCTGGTCCTCTTCCAGTGTCACGTGTCCCAGTACTCTCACCAACTCTGGCTTTTCCTTCTCAGGCCCCTATTCTTCTGCCTGCCCCTGAGATTTTCCTCCCCCGAGAGGCTCCTGTACCCCACCTTACTCTGTGCTTCCTCTTCCGTAGTCTGTCTTCACTCATTGTCAGCAACTCAACTTTTCTCTATCTCCTGCCTGTGTCTCTCTTCTGAGGGAACATTCAAAAACTGATTGTGTTCTGTCATCTCAGATACTCAGCTTACTCAGAATTAAGTTTATCTATCTTTTCCATTCTTGATCTGTTTCTTCTTTGAGAATTCCTCTCTCAGGAATACCACACTGTACTGGAGAAAGAACCCTCATTTTCCGTCTCCGTAGGATAGCAAAATTATTTACTCCTAGTGATGTCGGATACCCAAATGTTCCTTGAATTTGCTCTCTCCCTGCCCCCCCCACCCTTTTTTTGCCTGTCACGGAGGTTGGAAGTACTGGGCTGGCATGCTAACATCTCCAGAGGATCAGAAGAAAGACAGATTCTGATCAGGGCATTTACTCCTGGCACTGTCAGCTGTCCTGCCTGTCTGATCCAGAACCATAATCGTCTCCCTACTAGACTCTGAGCTAGAAGTTTTTTTTTTTGGAGGGTATATGACAATGGTATATGACACCCCCCTGACCCCCTTTCCCCACCCCCTGAGAAAGCGGGTTGCTCTCATGCCCATGTTCTCTCTTGAATACCTATCTTGCTTGCTAGTTCTCTCAAACCTGTGTTCTCCCATGAACTCTTTTCATTTATTTATTTATTAGTGAAACATAGGGGTTTCATGGGCTTACTTCTGGCTCATGCACTCAGGAATTACTCCTGGTGATGCTCAGGGGACCATATGGGATGCTGGGAATCAAACCTGGGTTGGCCGCATGCAAGGCAAATGCCCTACCTGCTGTGCTATCGCTCCAGCCCTGAAGTTTTTTGAATGAGTAAGAAGGAGCAACAGAAGGCTAGGATGACTGGACAGACGGATGATTGATTGGCTGGGTGAATGGTGGGTGGATGGCTGGATGGGTAGATGAATGGCTGGGTGGGTGGGTGGGTGATATCTAGCTATTTTCCCAACTATCAATATATCACGGACATCTTTTATATTACTGAATATATTTCCAGAGTAGCACATTGTTTCCAAAATTGTAAAAAAGTTTTAAAAGATTATAAAGTTCACACATGTATAGAAACTTCAGTTTGTTTAGAGAAGTAATCATCAAAAGTGAAAAAAATCACTACCATTTATCCTCACATCTAAAATTTACCTATATTAACTTTTTGGTGAGTGTTTTTCAAATATTTCCATTTATATACATTTCCATGCCCACACAATTCTGGAGTCTACACATGGCTTCATTAGGTTTTCTTTGCAGGTAGGTAGGTAGGGGGGCCCTGGTAATGTATACAGGGAAATAATAAATCTTAGAAAGAAATCACCCAGCCCTGAAGTACCACAAAAGCATGAGGAACTCATCCCTTTGAGATTCAGATCCTGAGCTAACCAAGGCACCACTCAGATCCTAGGCCCACCCAGAGAAGTGTAGAAGTTTATGGAAGAATCTAAAAATCCTGATGAGATTATGAGGGGACCATCAGCAGTGCAAGACTTTTCCTGTGGCAGTGTTCAGTTTAGCTTCTGTGTGTATGGAGAACTCCAGGAAAGAACCATTAGGAGAAATGGTATATGACGCCCCCCCCCCCACCCCCTTCCACCCACCCCCTGAGAAAGCGGGTTGCTCTCATGCCCATGTTCTCTCTTGAACACCTATCTTACTTGCTAGTTCTCTCAAGCCTGTGTTCTCCCATGAATTCTTTTATTTATTTATTTATTTTTGAAACACCATGAGGTACAGTTATAGACTTACAAATTTTTGTGCTTGGGTTTCAGCCTGCTTGCTTTTTCCATTCTGGAGGAGGAGTGTTCTCCTTGCACATGCATTCCTCTCTCTTCTCATCCCTAAGTAAAATTAATTCATTAAAATCATTTTAGTTCACCACTTCGCCTCCTCCTGAATTTTTTTTCTGCAACGAAAAGCTTCTGACCCAGAGTGTCGTGCCCACGCCAGGACTGATGTCCTTCTTCTGCAGAGAGCGGCCCCTGGCTCCAGGGGGTCCCGTGCTCCCCGATAAATCAGGCAGCGGGGACCATTTCCCTGCTGTGCAGAACAGGCAGGCTCCAGGCGCAGGGCGCAGTTGCCTCATGGCGTGGTGGGACTCCAGCCTCCAAGCATAGGTGCTCTGGGCAGCCCTACTGGCCCTGCCCCAAGCTGGGCATTTCCTGGGGTGGCTAAGAGGGTCTAGCAGAGAGGTGGAAGCTTCCTTTTCTCTGAGCTCCTTCCCTTGTTCCCCACTTTACTGGGCCACCAGCAGCACTCGCAATGTGTTCTGGAGAACACTATTTCAGTGAAAGAGGTGTAGATTTTCCTTTTTATATTTATGTAATATTCTATAATATATCATTTATATGTCCATTTTGTTATTAATTTATCTCTTACAATGCTTAAATTAGGCTTAACTTTTATGGGTTTTTTTTTTATAATTTATTTCTTTATTGAATCACTGTGGGAAAAGTTACAGAGCTTTCGGGTTTAGGTCTCAGTCATGTAAATATCAAACACATTTCCCTTTACCAATACTTATTTTTAACCGCGAACCCCAATAGAACCCCACCTCCCACCCCTCCCAATTCCTGTGAGGCAGATTAGTTCTAGTTAATACTCTATCTACTTTGGCTAGATACATTGTTTCGATAGAAGATGCACAATTATTGTTTAGAGTTTACGACCCCCCCCCCCCCAATCAGACATGCTGAAACAGCGTTGTGAAATGATTTGCTTTCTACAACTTGGTTTAAGAATAAAATGATGTTGCGCAGCCGCTATTGCGGCCGCGCGGTTTTGGATTTCTGCTATTTTACTTATTGACCCTGGAAGAATTTCTATTAAAAGTTAGATAGTTAAGAGATTGGTTTTTGTGCCCTGGAGTCGTGGCCGTGCCGGAGAGCCGCTCGTGGGGGGCAGCTGGCGACCTCGGTCGGGCATGGAGGACGGCCCAGAACGCCCCCCTTCCCATGAGGTCCCTGCCGCTCCCACCACCCCCGGCTCAAACCTGCTGTCCACAAGGCTCCCGTGCGGCCGCCATCTTTCTTTCCAGAGAGCACTTTTATGGTTTTTAAGGAGACAACCATAAGTAACAAAATGTCTCCCTTGAGGGAAAGGAGCGTGTTAAGAGAAGAGGCCACGCAGGCCAGGGAGCTGGTACAGTAGTGGGGTTCGCCATGCCCACAGCTGGCTTGTGCCTGGTCCCCTGGGCATTGTCAGGTGTAGCCCCAAGCCTAACTAAACAGGAAATGAGGTGAGGGTGTTGGGTGACCCCTGCAGTCCACCTGCCCTTCTGTTCCCTCCCACCATTGCTCACCTGCGTGTCCGCTCTCCTTGGCTCTGACACGCCTTGGTCCAGCCCAGCCACAACCCTGAGCCCTCGCACTGTGGGGTCACTGAGCCCACTGTTCCCCAGCAGTGGCTTCGGCCCCCAGGAGCTTGGGTGCCCCCTCTGCCTGCAGGTGTGGCTGTGCCCTTGGCAGTGAGGCCTCCCGATCCCAAGTTTAAAAGTCGTTTTCCCTCCCAAACCTCTCCTTCCTGGTTTACTTTAACATTAGCACCCACCTTCCAGTGTGAAGCTTGGCTGTCTCCCTTTGTTGCCTGTTCCATGTTTCTGCTGGGCAGGTCCCTGGGAACAGGCCCTTCTGGAGTGGGAGACCAAGGAACCTTGCTGACTGTTGGCCCCTTGCACTGGCCCCGCCGGTGCCCACTTTGACCAGTGGCGCAGTTCCAGAAACGGCCCCAACGGCCGCAAGTGTATTTGAAAGAGCTCCTGGCTGATGCAGCCCTGGGCTGGGCTGGGCTGGGTACTGTGACGGGAGAAGCAGGTGGGCTCCTGGGGATGTCCATAGTGACTCTCCCTGTTTGTTCTCTCCAGTCCTTCGGAGGCAGGAACCTGAAGCGTGTTGGGGTCCTGCTGCAGAGGGGGACGCTCATCCTGCTGCTGTGCTGCTTCCCGTGCTGGGCACTCTTCCTCAACACTGAGAACATCCTCCTGCTCCTCAGGCAGGACCCTGAGGTCTCCAGGTCAGCTGCCCCTGGGGTCAAAACCACCACTCCTGCGCTTACCTCTGTGTCCAGCTGCCTGGGCATGGCAGAAGGAGCCTGGGGGCCGGGAGTATGGTCAGACTTGAGAGAGCAGTTGCCTGCAAAGACCAAGATGGCCTGGCTGCCTCCTCTGGGCACCTCCGTTTTGGTGGTGTGGCAAACACAGGGAAGGCGCTTTTCTTTTGTTTGTTTGGGCAGTACTCAGGGCTCACTCCTGCTCTGTACTCAGGGATCTCTCCTGGCGGAGACCAGGGAACCATATGGAGTGCCAGGGACTGAACCTGTGTTGGGTGCTTGGTTAGCGCCTTACCTGCTTCGGCCCTGCAGAGAATGTTCTTGGCAAAAGGAGGGTCAAACACAACTGCCTTTGCTTTTATGTTCAAAACTGTTGTTTTTAACCTGTAACTCCAGCAAGCTCTCTGGGAGACGTGGCCACAGAAGCATCTTTCCTTTCCAGAAAACTGGTCTGGCTTCACCATAATAGCCACAGTCATGACTATGAAAGGGTTCTGGATTTTGCTGAATCTGAATCTGGTTCATTTTGCATGTATATTCCATGAATGAGCTGAAAATAACAGGTTGCCCAATTTCTCCAGTAAGTCCTGCCCTTAGAAGGCCTAATGCAGTGGTTAGAACAGCATTTCCCAAAGTGAGTGATTTTACCACTTCCCTGAGCCTTACCTGCTCCAGAGCAGGGTTGATGAAATAAAGGTTGGCGGACCAGTACTACAATTTTGGGAACACTTCCTGTTTGTTGGCATAAAGAAGGTACATTTTCAGGGAGTCGCTGTTTGTTCCTTTTTTTCTTAAAAAGGGGGCATCAGGTCAAGAAAGTTTAGGAGTCTCTGGTTAGAACCTCTGATTATAGAAAAATTACTTAAAGTTGTTATTAAATTTGTATTATGTCAATTAGTTTTAATTTCTAAAAAACCGTGAATCCAAGTGCCTAAGAACAGACAAATGGATAAAGAAACTATGCACATCTACACAATGGAGTACTATATAGCTGTCAGGAAAAATAAAGCCATAAAATTTGCCTATAAATGGATGGGCAGGGAGAGTATCATGCTGAATGAAATGAGTCAGAAGGAAAGAGACAGATAGAGAATGACTGCATTCATTTGTGGTATATAAAATATATATATGTATAGTAGAAGGTTAATATCCATGGCCAGGGTAAACAGGGGTTAGGAGGACTGGTCAGTGGTTGGAACTAACCACAAGTGTTTGTGGGACTGAGGGTAGATAAGATAGAGAAGAGACCGCAATGCCAATAGTAGCTCGGAATGATAACGCTAGACAAGATCTGGAGGTTAAAAGTAGGTAAAAGGATATTTTTGATAACATTTCAGTATCAATAATGCAAACTACAATGCCCAAAGGTGGGGGGGAGGAGAGAATAAAAGAGCCTGCCCAAGAGACAGGCAAGGGATGGGGGTCAAGGGGTGTTGGCAGGGAACCTGGGGATACTGGTGCCCAAAAATGTAACTGGAAGAGGGATGGATGTTGGAATACTCTGTGACTAAAATTCAATCATGAACAGCTTTGTAATGCTCTGAAAATAAATAAATAAATAAATAAATAAATAAATTTAAATAAAAACAAAACAAAAAAAGGAACAAAAAATAACGCTGTGGATTCAGTTTGAAGACAGTAAGACCTGTAATTGGTTTACTATTAACTGCTGGGTTTTTGTTGTTTATTTCAGACTAGCCCAAATTTATGTGATGATTTTTATTCCTGCTCTTCCTGTAAGTGTTGCAGATACTCTCGCATTTTGATACATGAAGCAGCTCGTGTTTTGTGTGCATGCCCTTCTCCCTCCTTTGTTTATCAGAGTGCTTATTGGTCTTCCCTACCTAATTCTCAGAGTTTGTACCATTCTGATGTCCAGCAGCTTAAATTAAATGCAAAGACTGAGGTGAGGGGAAGAAACTTTCCTTCCTCTTTAGTTACTTTTGAATGCAAATTAATCTGAATGTTCCTTGAGGCTCCTCTGGGATTTGGGGGGGAATGACATGTGTATGGTGTGTATGTGTGTGTGTGTGTGTGTGTGTGTGTGTGTGTGTGTGTGTGGCGGGGGGGGGGGGAGGAGCAGGTGAGAAGTAATGGCCTTTTATTGGTACCCAAATCTCATATTTAGGTACCATAATAGCAGTACCCTTGTAACTACTCAAACTGTAACTTTTGTACTGTCTCTTGGGGGGCCACTCTGGAAAGTGCCTAGTGTTTGTGCAGTGTGGCTCTGATTCTCTAAGTAGGCCACATATCAAAAGGATATCCTTTATGAAACTACAGAACTGAAGGAAATGGTTGGAATTACACTTTTGTATTAATGCTTGTTTTTCTATTTCATTTTCTAGGCCGCATTTCTATTCCAGCTGCAAACAAGATATTTACAAAGTCAGGTACAGATTCTTTTTTATGTTTTTATTCCCTAATACTGGAAATTGATACTCTCTATTTTTCATGAATTAGCCATAAAAGCAACCCACAATTTTCCCTGCCACCCACGCTCTTTTCTGGGAGATTGGCTGGGGGTGGGGGTGCATTTTGTCAGGCAAGGAGAGATGATGGTGATAATGATGATGATGGTGATGATGATGATGATGATGATGATGGTGATGTTGTCAATCTGTCACACTCCTCCAGGCCACCTCTTGTTTCTGCATCTCCTCTGGCTTTTAACCCAGGTGATGGCCTGGCCCACCTCCACTGGGCACCTCCATTTTGGTCTTGTGGCAAACACAGAGAATATGCTTTTTGTTTGTTTGTTTGTTTGTTTGGGGAGTGCTCAGAGCTGACTCCTAGGTCTGTGCTTAGGGCTGACTCACGGCTCTTTGCTCAGGGCTCACTCCTGGCGGGCTCAGGGCACCATATGGGGTGGCAAGGGTAGAACCTGGGTTAGCCACGTGCAAGGCAAATGCTCCCTGCTGAACTATAGGATGTGGTCCCTATATTCATTCCAATCTATATTTTTTCACACTGTGGAGCTGATTTGCTTTTGAAAAATGCTTATGCGTTTCTATTTGGGAGATTTTAGGGCATCATCATGCCTCAGGTAATTACTGGGATTGTAGCGAATATCATCAACGTGGGCATGAACATCCTGCTGCTCTACGTCCTGGACCTTGGAGTGCTGTGAGTAGTGGCCCATTTGCTCAGCAGATCTGACTAGTCTTCTGGGTGTTGGGTCTCTACCTAGGGCAGGGTCACTGAAAGTGACACAGCTGGTAGGAGTACCCGGAGGTGCCCCTGCTCTGAGAGACTGGGAGGCAGTCGGGCCCTGGGACACTGGCCCAGGCTGCTGGGAGGGCAGTGGGGGTGAGTCTACGAGGAATAGGGAGAGTGTCCTGGGAGACCACGTGAAAACTGACACCCCCATGTTGAAGTGGAGTTAGACTGAAGAGCACTGTGAAGCCTTGAGGATTGACCCGACAAAGGCAAGGGAAGATAGATGTTTCTAGGGATTCTCCCAGTGTCTCTGAATCACACAGAATGGAATCAAGTTCCATCTTTATGAAGATTGAGAATTGAGAGTTTGAGAAGCTCGACTCAGGTTGTGGCACTGTCCCATCTGTTGGTCCCTCAGGTGCTTGACAGCTGTCTCACGCTCTGGCCCTTTGGGCTGGTGGGTCCTGCCAGCAGTCCTGTGAGCCTAATGGTTTATAGGCACTTTAGAGCAGTCTGTTTCTTTCTAAAAGAAAACTGGTATAGTGAATCACTTAAAAAATGAAATACAGGACCCAGAATGCCAGTACAGTGGTTAAGGTTCATGCTTTGTGTGGCCCTGGAGATCCTCATCAGAGTAACAGGTTATCACTAGCACCATGGGGCCCAAGCAGTATCTCATGGCCAAGCAGCACATCCTTGGGCCCTTGCTTTCACCAATGTCAAGAATGGCCTCCCAGCCCTCTGAGCCCTGCAAGGGATGTCCCTGCACCCCATCCCCCAACCCCCGCCCCCCAGCAAGAAATATGTGTTGAATAAAATGCAGTCAAGTAAGAACTACAAGGTGATACAGGATAATTTTCATAAGATTTTTGTTCCTTTAAAAAAGTTTTTTTTCTTAAATTTTTTGGCCACACTCTGAGTTGTTCAGAGCTTAATCCTGGCTCTGAGCTCAGGGGTCACTCCCGAAGATGGTCAGGAAACCATATAGAGTGCTGGGGATTGAACCCAGGTAGGTTACAGGTATGGCAAGTGCACTACCCACTGTACTATCTCTCTGGCCCCAAGACTTTTGTTTGTATGGAGGCTGTTTATACATATTAATGTTAATACTGGGTATTTATAATTAATTACACTAAGAAAAAAAGATGAAAGCAGTGAACTAAAGGGTACTGACAAGTTGGAACATAAGACTAATCAATAATTATAATAATAATGATAATAATAATAATAATGATAATAATAATAATAATAAAACATGTGCAGCATTTGTTTATGCCAGAAAATGGAATGAGACTTTTTTAGGGCTGAGGATCTATGGGCAGGCTTGGGCAGGGGCTGGTGATCCAGTAAGCACTGAGCAGCATCCAGCTTCTCCTGTTACAGAGAATCTCAGAACCAGTTTGGCAATAGATGGGTAAGAGAAGAAAATATAAGAATGGATTAATAATGTGAGGATTGGTCAGGAGCGTGAACTAGAAAAATGGAAGAGAAGACAAAGTTCCCAACTCTGACGAACTGGGCTTGGTTGAATGTGTGGTCGTCTCAGGTCATTTATCGAAGATACTTTGTAGTTATTTTATAAATGAAAACGTGTTTATTATAATCTGAGAAATAAAACTGCTATGACCTAGATTAACATTGTGAACACAGTAGCTATTTGGTAGGTCATTTTGAACTTTTTGTGCTTAAAACTTGATTTGATGGGTTCTTTAAGGCTAGGACAAGGCTTGGGGTACATTTTTATGTCCCTTTGTTCTTTCACTGATGAATGGTAACATTTGTTCTTCCAACTTTCAGTCTTGGTGGGAAAAAAAACCCAAGTCTGTTAGCAATGAAGAAGGGGTTTAAAATATCCAGAGAATGAGATTTCAGGAGCTTAATAGTTATGATACTCGCATAGGTAATGACAACCTTTTCTTCTTCAGAGGATCTGCCTGGGCAAACACGACTTCCCAGTTCTTCTTGTGTGCTCTTCTATTCCTGTACATTCGGTGGAAGAAAATCTATACCAGCACCTGGGGAGGTATGAGGAAACTGATGCCCTAGATTTATTTTGTTATTGGGAGGATATCATTCTGGTTTCTAAACTTTTTTCCCCAGAGAATTTTTGATTTTTCATTTGGGGAAATTATAATATTATAGAAAATACTTAAGTTAAGGGCTGGAGTGGATAGCACAGCGGGTAGTGTGTTTGCCTTGCACATGGCCAACCTGGGTTTGATTCCTCCATCTGGCTTGAAGAGCCCGGCAAGCTACCGAGAGTATCTTGCCCGCACAGCAAAGCCTGGCAAGCTCCCCGAGACGTATTCAATATGCCAAAAACAGTAACAACAAGTCTCACAGTGGAGACGTTACTGGTGCCTGCTCGAGCAAATCAGTGAACAATGGGAGAACTGTGCTACAGTGCTACTTAAAAGGTAAAGGTAAAGGCCCTCCCGTTGTTCATCGATTTTCTCGAGTGGGCCCAGTAACGTCTCCATTGCAGACTTTGTTGTTACTGTGTCTGGCATATCGAATACGTCACGGGGAGCTTGCCAGGCTCTGCCATGCGGGCGAGATACTCTCGGCAGCTTGCCGGGCTCTCTGAGAGGGGCGGAAGAATCGAACTTGGGTCGGCCATGTTGGCTGCGTGCAAGGCAAATGCCCTACCGCTGTGCTATCGCTCCATGTACAGTGTCTATGAGATTTTTTCCTCTTTCTTTTTCTTTCTTCCTTTCTCACTCCTTCCTTCCTCCCTCCCTATGTAAACTCAAAAAGGGCAGCACCCAGGGACGCCAGATGTATAAACACAAAAAGACTGCTGCGGTCTGTTTTCCCACTGCCCGCGTTAGGTAGTCTCACACCACTTTCGCCCATCTGGGGAAGGTGGATGGCGGTGGACAGGCGAAGGAAGGAAAGGAGGGCCAGGCTGGTTGGTGTCAGTCGCAGTTTATTCCATTCCCATCTTTATTCCTCTCTGATTCTCCTCCTGCTTCTTCCTCCCCCATGCTACTTCATTCTCCTCCTCAATCCCCCTTCATTCTCCTTCTGGCTCTGGAATCTGGAATCTGGATTCTGATCCCCTTTCTCCTTCTTCTGGAGTCTGCCTCTTGATTCCCCAGCGCACTCTTACAGCCTAGTTAAAGGAGCGATAGCACAGCGGGTAGGGCGTTCACCTTACAAGCGGCCAACATGGCCGACCCGAGTTCGATTCCTCCGCCCCTCTCGGAGAGCCCGGCAAGCTACCGAGAGTATTCGATATGCCAGACACAGTAACAACAAAGTCTCCAATGGAGACGTTACTGGGCCCGCTCGAGCAAATCGATGATCAACGGGAGGGCCTTACCTTATGAAGGATTGGTGCTTACACATAGCTGTGGTCACGATCAATAGGGGTAAAGTTCTTTCCCTCAGGAGGTACTTCTTCTAGGACAGATACCCATTTAGCAGGACAACTATCCAAGCGCGGAATCCCATGGGTGTGTTTCTCCTCTCCTTGTCCAACAAACATATGAACATTCATAATATTAATCATTTTGTATGGACACAGTAAGAGATACATTAAGCTTATAGAATTGCTCTCCTAGGGCCATCTCGATCACAGGCTACAGTGCTCAGGCTAGATTAGTCTTTCTTATCCCTAGCAGGGTCCTAGTCTCGTTGTTACTTTTTGGATCATGACAGCATTTGTCCATGATCAAGCTCTTAACTTATAGTTAAGAATCATGGCACTGAACAAAAGGGAATGCCCTGCCACAGAGGCAGGGTGGGATGGGGGGATGGGGGGTGGGAAGGATACTGGGATCAGTAGTGGTGGAAAATGGGCACTGGTGGAGGGATGGGTACTCAATCGTTGTATAACAGAAACCCAAGCACAAAAATTTGTAAGTCTACAACTGTACCTTATGGTGTTTCACTAACAAAAATTAAAAAAAAAAAAAGAATCGTGGCACATTGGCCTGGCCCATTTCGATGCCAGGGTAGCTCACAGCTTGCCCTGGGTCCATTCAGTCTCTTGTCGGGACCCTGCTTTTGGGGTGCTAGGAACTAAGGGCAACTGAGGCTTAAGTCGAGAAAGCAGATGCCCGGGAGTGAATAATATTCAAAGCCAATTAAATCCTAAATTACAAAAGCATAATATTAACTATATATTGTGCGTAATATTAACTATATAATATTAACTCAGTCATAGTCCTCCCGTTGTTCATCGATTTGCTCGAGCGGGCCCAGTAACGTCTCCATTTTGAGACTTGTTGTTACTGTGTTTGGCATATCTAAAATGCCAGGCTCTGCTGTGCGGGCAAGATGCTCTCCATAGCTTGCAGGGCTCTCTGAGAGGGGCAGAGGAGATAATATTAACTATAACATAATATTTGTATTTATACTAAAAGGACATTGCTTTAAAGTAAACTATAAGACATAAGGAGAGGAGAAAGGCAATAATAACTTACAATACAAGTTCAGAGTCCTAGAAGGATCTGACCTTACAAATTAACAGATTCTGATTAGGGGGAAAAGCTGATTAACTGGTTGAGGAAGAGAGCATAGAGAAGAGGTTACAGATAAAGGAATGGGAGTGACAAAGAGCACTGTGATGGGTGTAACTGATAAACTTAAGCTCCTTGTGGCAAGGGAGAAAGGACAAATCAATTGTTACCCTACACCTCCCTCTTCCTTCCTTCCTTCCTTCCTTCTTTCTTTCTTTCTTTCTTTCTTTCTTTCTTTCTTTCTTTCTTTCTTTCTCTCTTTCTCTCCCTTCCTTCCTTCCTTCCTTCCTTCCTCCCTCCCTCCCTCCCTCCTTTTCTCTCTCCCTCCCTCCCTCCCTTCCTTCCTTCCTTTCTTTCTTTCTTTCTTTCTTTCTTTCTTTCTTTCTCTCTTTCTCTCCCTTCCTTCCTTCCTTCCTCCCTCCCTCCCTCCCTCCCTCCCTCTCTCTCTCCCTCCCTCCCTTCCTTCCTTCTTTCCTTCCTTCCTTCCTTCCTTTCTTTCTTTCTTTCTTTCTTTCTTTCTTTCTTTCTTTCTCCCTTCCTCTCTTTCTCTCTTTCTCTCTTTCTTTCTCTCATTCTCTTCCTCCCTCCCTCCCTCCTCAGGAAGGAAGCTTTTGTTTAGAGAAAACTGCTCACAGCTCCTGGTTTTAAGACTAGTGAATGAAAATGCAAGTAAAAAAATTCTGCTTGGGGCCTGAGCACTAGTACTGTGGACGGAATTCTTGCTTCATATGCACCCTACCAACCCAGGTTCGATTCCCAGCACCACATATGGTTCCCTGAGTTCCACCAGGAGTGATCCCTGAGCCCTGAGCTAGGGTAAGCCCTGTGCACCACTGGGTGTGGCCTCCAAACAAACAAATAAAATTTTCCTTGTTCCTTACAAATCACCCTGTGTCCTTCACTTTAAGAGTGAAGTTTGACAGAAAAGATATCAACTGAGAAAAAAATAATGTGGAATGTAATATCAGCGATATTTGTGGCTGTGTTTAACTAAGATACTAAATCCACTGGTTGATTAACTCCAACCATTTTGTTGTTGTAGTTTCTTTTTTTTTATATTTGCATATACTAGTTCTTTTTTTTAATTTTTATTAATGAAACACCATGAGGTACAGTTGAAATTCCGCAGTATTCTATAAAGTTAAGTTATTGAATCATATTTTTTAAAAAATCTGGTTTTGGACCTGTGTTTTTGTGTTTTTAACTTAGTGTTTTCAAAATATGATTTTTTTTTTGTTATCTGGGGGATTATGTTGAACCTCTCATAATCCTATCCTCATGTGTTTGGGTCAGATCTCTCATTCTACAACTCAATACCTAAATAAAGTGCAGTTTGAGGACTGGAGATATTTCAACTGGTGGAGCAGGAGCTTAGCATATGTAAGACCTGGAGTTTGATCCTTATCAGGCATTGGTACCTGGGCATTGTTACCTGATCATGGTGACCCCAAGTACTTCTGGGTCAGATCATTGCTGGCAGCAGCAGCTGTTGCAAACAATCAAGCAAACAAAAGCCTTATCACTCCAGTGACCAGATATCTAACTATCTTAAACTATCGCTACAAGTAACCTAAATATCTAAAATATACTATCCATGCGATCCTCAAAAAATTAGAAATTGAGCTCCCATTTGACCCAGCAATACCACTCCTGGGAATACATCCCAGAGAGGCAAAAAAGTATAGTCGAAGTGACATCTGCACTTGTTTGTTCATTGCAGCACTCTTTACAATAGCTAGAATCTGGAAAAAACCTGAGTGCCCGAGAACAGATGACTGGTTAAAGAAACTTTGGTACATCTACACAGTGGAGTACTGTGGCAGCTGTTAGAAAAGATGAAGTCATGAAATTCACATACAAATGGTACTACATGGAAAGTATCATGCTAAGCGAAATGAGTCAGAAAGAAAGGGACAGACATAGAAAGATTGCATTCATCTGGGGAACATAAAGTAACAAAATAGGAGACTACACCCAAGAATAGCCGAGATAAGTACCAGGAGAATTACTCTATGGCTTTGAGGACAGCCGCACATGCTAGGGGAAAAGACAGCTCAGATAGAGAAGGGAGCACCAAATAAAGGGTGTTGGGAGGTTCCTCTCAGGATGGGAAATTCGTGATGAGAGTAGACTATAGACTGAACAAGATTGCCACTCAGTGTCTCTTTTGCAAACCACAGCACTCAAAAGGAGAGAGATAACAAAAGGGAATGCCCTGCCACAGGGTAGGGTGGGATGAGAGGATTGGGGGGGGGGGGGGGAGGGATACTGGGACTGGTGGTGGTGGAAAAGGGGCACTGGTGGAGGGATGGGTACTCGATCATTGTATAACTGAAACCCAAGCGCAAAAATTTGTAAGTCTACAACTGTACCTCATGATGTTTCACTAATAAAAATTTAAGAAAATAAATTGAAATAAAATATACTGTCCATGTATTCATAAGCTTACTATAAATTACAAAAAGCTTGCCATTTTAACCATTTTTGAATGTGAAGGTCAAAATAATATTAAGTACTTAATAAAATATTAAATGGACTAACTTGCAGGCTATCGAATGTAGCCTGCCCACAGGGCAGAGTCTGGCAAACTCCCCGTGGTGTACCAAATATGCCAAATACCAGTAACAATGATGGGTCTCATTCTCCTAAAGAGCCTTGAATATAATCTCAGGGCTAGGATGAAAGAGACGTTACTGGGGCCTGCTCGAGGCAATTGACGAATAACAGGATGATGAATGAATGAATGAATGAATGAAAATATTAAATATATTTGCAGTGTTGTGCAAACCATCACCACCAACTATTCCAAACCTTTCCATCGCACTCCTGAGAGCATGCCTGCTGGGCACTATCTTCCTATTTCCTTCCCCCTACCCTCTCATCAGCTTTCTGTCTCTTTGTGTTCTGTCTGTCCTCTGAAACTCCTCTGACCTCTTTTACTTACTCTATTAATTTTCTTGTGAATTCTTTTTTTTTCTCGATCTTGGATGTCATGAATCAACACATAGACTTTTACCCCTTCTCTAATGTTGATGACCGTTTCTTCCTTTTTGATTACTTTAGCTAGTACTTTAAATACAGTGTTGTCTAGATGTACTGAAAGGTAGTATAGTTGTCTTGTTTCTCATTTCAGATATAAAAGAACCAAGTAAATACTTAGAAGTAGAAACTATAATTGCTGAAATTTGAAGCAGTAAGTGAATGAGAATAAGATAAGACACAGCTTAAGGGATAGTGGGGAAACAGAAAAGAGAAAGTCTAAGAACATTGCAGAGAGCTGCAGTGAGGACTGCAGGGCAGAGAAATGAGAAAGAGAAGATCAGAGCACAGAGAGAAGAGCAGCTTGAACTGGGGCATAAGCAGCAGAAGAAAGGGCTATAGCTGCACCATTGAATATGAGTCTTCCTTGGGGCTAAGCAAGTTTACCAAATGCCTAGGAGATAAATTGTTTACGTGGAGCCCGTGCCACATGGGCTTAATGCTTGACCTGCATGGGGCCTGGGTTTAGCTCTGGCACCCCTATTCCCCTGCCCCCCTTAGGTGGGGTTGAGTGCATGCTTGAATATGGTTTGCCCGGGTCCAATATCCAGTACAGTATGGTCCAGGGGGAGGAAGTTTGCCTTGCACAGGTTTGATCCCTACATCCCATATGGTCTCTCAAACCTGCCAGCAGTAAGCTCTGAGCAGTGCTGGGTTTTTTTTTTTTTTTAGTTTACTTTGATTTTTATTTTAGGCTGAGCTTATTCCCAGGCCATAAGTTTTTGCTTCTTCAGTTTTTTCTGTGATATCTTTTTCTTCAGTGCAACTTCCTCTTCAGGTTTAGGAACAATCTGTTCTTTTCCAGTAAGAATCATCTCAGTGTGGCAGGGAGAGCTCATATAGGGGTTAATTCGCCCATGAGCCCTATAAGTTCTGCAGCACATGTTGGGTGCTTTATTCACCTGGATATGCTCAATGACCAGAGAATCCACATCTAAACCCTTGAGTTCAGTATTACTTTCTGCATTTTTAAGCATGTGCAGTAAAAACTCAGCACTCTTTTTGGGACAACGACCCTGTGTCCAGCCCCACTGTTTGGCTTGGGCGCACCTGCCAATGCCACTGTTGTAACACAGGAAGGGCACACACTGTTTCTGCAGAGTGACGTCCTTCAAGTACTTAGTGGCCTTTCTGATATGCATGCCCTTGATGGTGTGAGCCGTTTCCCCAGTGTTCTTGAAGTGCACACAAAAGTTTGAGCCCTGGAACTTGCATAATTTCATCGGGTTCTTGGGGACCAAAGAGTTACGCACCATCTCGGGACCTCTGACTGCCACTTATGGGAGAGAGTGCTGGGTATTTTTGGATTTTGGCTCAGAAACAAATAAAATAGATCCAGTACAGTATGGTCCCCTGAGCCTCCCCTGAACCCAGTTTCAAGTGAGTCCTAAACATAGAGCTGAGAGTAGCCCCAAAGTACCACCATGTATGGCTTCCAAACCAATAACAATAATAATTGAATTTTAAAAATGAAAGGGGCTAGGGCGATAGTATAGTAGATAAGGTAACCAGCCCAGGTTCAATCCTCAGTATCCATATGGTCCCACAGCTAAATGGGAACACTGTAATCTGTATGACCCTTTCTGTCACAATCCTGACTACAACAAGGGGAAGAAGAAAATGAATTTAAAAACAAACAAACTGAACTTACAGTTATCAATGATATGATAGCCAAGACTGGGAAGAGGGATTTAAAGTGTGCTATCTCATGCGGAAGAGGTCAAAGATGAGAAAAAGTGTTTGTGCAGAAAAGGATTGTGAGCATTGTGGTTGCCTGATCAGCCTTCTCTTGGAAGCTCCTCATTGTCATTCAGGAAGCCATAGTTCTTTGCACTTGAGTACTGAACCTCTACCCTTGGACTTAAGTTACAGGAGCAGTTATGTAAGCTTTTAATGCTTAACTAGATTGAATGGTTGTATTTTTAACTTACAGCTGAATACATCGTAATGAATACAGCAGATGAACTCCTGCTTTCTGACCATTTGGTGAGGGAGAGCATGTGAAATAGCTGGAAAAGAAATGCTTATTTCCTTCCCATTCTCCAGGCTGGTCAAAGGAATGTTTCCAGGAGTGGGGCTGCTTTATACAGCTGGCAATTCCCAGTATGTTCATGGTGTGCATCGAGTGGTGGACCTTTGAGATCGGAACCCTACTTGCAGGTTTGTCAACAGTTCAGTGGGAAACTCATGACAGCCTACTCATCGTGGCCCACCAGAGCTTTCCTAGAAACTTAAGGTCTTCTCCTTCCTCCTCATTTTATTCAATTAATTAATTTATTTATCTTTTAGTTTGGGAGCCATACCCAACAACACTTAGGGTTCACTCCTGATGATGCTTGAGAGATCATATGGGGTGCCAGGGATTGAACCCAGGTCAGCAGCATGTATAGCAAGTGCCCTACCTTCTGTACTATCAGTCTGGCTTCTGCTTCATTTCGGCAGGTTCTCATGGAAGTTTTCAATATTGGTTTAAATTCTCAATGCACTCTAAGCATATTCAAGTGGGGTGGGGGCTTTAGGTCTACTGCCAGTCTTTCATTCATGGATTTAGAAAGGGAGGACACTTTCAGATTTGCCAAAGTGGAGTAGGATGGTGCTGGAACAATACTACAGCAGGTATGGTGGTTGCCTTGCACATGGCTGACCCAGGTTCCATCCTTGGTACCCTGAATGATTCCCCGAGCTTCGCCAGGAATGAACCCTGAGTGCAGAGCCAGGAGCCAGCCCTGAGCACCATTAGGTGACCCAAAGAAGAAGGAAGGGAGGAGAGGAGAGGGGAGGGGAGGGGAGAGGAGGGGAGGAAGGGAGGGAGGGAGGGAGGGAGGGAGGGAGGGAGGGAGGGAGGAAGGCCACAAAAACCAAAGTAGGAGAATGAAAACCCACATTTAGGTCACAGACTCTTGGTCCACGTTCAGCTCCAGCTGATATTTGCTAGATCATACCAAGTTCTTTTTGTTTTTTTTTGGTTTTTTTTTGCTTTTTTTGGGTCACACCTGGTGATGCACAGGGGTTACTCCTGGCTCTGCACTCAGCAGTTACTCCCGGCGGTGCTCAGGGGACCATATGGGATGCTGGGAATCGAACTTGGGTCAGTCGCGTGCAAGGCAAACGCCCTACCCGCTGTGCTATCTCTCCAGCCTGAGATCATACCAAGTTTTTAAGACATTTACAACATGAATAATTTGGTTCTGGATTTAAATACAATCTTTATTTCTATCAAAACTATAATAGTCGATCAAAAGTGTTCACTTAGTTATATTGCTAGTGAAGGAGGAGAAAAGACTATAGGCCAAGGGCGATAACAATTGACACTCAAATTCCTATGTCTGTGGAAACTTGAATTCCATCAGTCCTGTAGGAATTCCCGTCGCTTTCTTTCCTTTCATTTCATGCTTGACCCAAATCTCCTCGAGAATGACCTGCAATTCTAGGAAACTCATTATTTTCTACTTACAGCCTAGTGTTCTGTATTCTGGGGGAGTAGGGGCTTGTAATGACTCTGTCTCATACTTTGCTGCCTGAGTCCTTAGCAGCTCCCGGGATAAGCTGTCTGCGGTTCTCAGTGAAGATAGTGAATTCTGCTGATGTGTGGTTACACTGCTGGTAGCAAGCTTGGCTTCTCTGACATTTAGATGTGTTCTTGTTCCGTAAGAGAAATGTTTGCTTAAACTCACTTTCTAAAATGTATGTGTATTGAGTATGTGTACGTGTGTGTCATTTCAGGACTGATTAATGTCACAGAACTTGGAGCCCAGGCCATCGTTTATGAACTTGCCTCTGCAGCTTATATGGTAAGATCTTTCAAGGTAAGACTCAACCCCTTTCCTTGAACAAATGCGGTTGAGTCATAGTCATTGCATTCACTTGGCCAGGGTTGAGTACCCACCATGTTGTGTTCCAGAAAAGAAAGGACCAGATGACATGAGAGTGAGTGAGCACATATACAACAGAGAACATACTAGAACATTTTCCCGGTTTGGGAGTCGGACATACTAGACTGAAGTCCTGGCTATGCTGTTATCCTACTTTGTGACCATGGGCTTGTTACTTAACTTTTCTGAGCTTTGATTTCCTCATAAAAAATGAGAAAAACAAATACTTCCCTAGCAGGTGAAGAGTGAATATGCTAATGTCTGTCAGACACTTAGAACAGTGGCTAGCATATAAGTTGAGCAGAGAGGAGTTGCAGCTTGGGTCCATTGAGACTAAGGTGGGGATACTGTTGCCTTCTTGTGCCTTTTGGTTCAGTGGGGACAGAGATAAACAAGTAAATATATGAATTCAGTTATTACAGGTAGAGGTGGCATGCACCAAAAGAGTAAAAAAAAAGTCTGATATGATTTAAAACAGAAACTGACACTTTTTATAGAGATTGTCAGGAATGATAATCAGGAATATGTCTGGACTGGCCATGTGCTGAGAGGTGAAAGGAGAGGAGACCTAGCACAGGAGCTGGAGCCCAGGCTTCAGGAGAGAGAAGATCTCTTGGTGTGTCAGCCCGACTGGGTCCCTGCTGAGGGTTTGTGAGGAAAGAGGAGAAGGACTTGCTGCTGGCATTGCAGACACAGCTCAGAGAGCAGGCTGGGGTGAGGAGGCAGGGGAGGGGTACTGGGAGGATCTGTGGGAATCGCCTTGCCAGGCAACTCAGAGGCTTCTGGGGCAGAGTCCCGTGCTGTGGGGACAGACAACAAGACATACTCAGTGCTCGGATGTGAAAACAAGGCAGGGAATGGGAAGAGCACAAAATTACCCCAGAGTTTCCAGCTTCAACAACTGTGCAGGGTGAGTGCTCTCTCTCTCGTAGTCTGTGTAAGTATGTGTGTGTGTGTGTGTGTGCGCGCGCGCGCGTGTGTGTGTGTGTCTGTCTGTCTGTCTGTGTGTTGGGACTTCTTGTAATGCTTTTTGAATATTCAAACTATGAAAATAGTTCTCTTGTTTTGTTTTTTTCTATTTCACTTTTATTTGTTTTAGCTTATTCTTGTGTTTGGGGACCACACCTAGTCAGGTCTTCGCTGTGACTCTGTGCTCAGGGGTCATGCCTGGTGGGGCTGGGAGGACCCTGTGGGGTGCTGAGGATCTAACAGGGTGGCCATGCACAGGGAAAGTGCCTTGCCCACTGTACTGTCTCTCTGCCTGCTTCTTTTTAAAATGACCAGATCCCAGTGCTCCTCTAGTCCACGGCACCATAGGCTGTTTTGTTTCCATGTGGGATTGTTTCTGCAGGGAGAGTGTGTGCAGCATGGGCCCAGGGAGCGCTGCAGCCACTCCTGCAGACACTTAGTTCAGAGCTGCTCAGGCATTGCAGTTTGGGGGCTGGGCACTGCAGTATTGGGGGCCGTAGGGCCACCCACTGATGCTCAGGATACATGCAGTTCCGGGAATCAAACCCAATGCCTCCACAAGCCAGGCTTTCACTCCATCCTTTCATCTATTCTCTCCAGCCTGCCGTTCATGTGTGTGGAAAAAGAAAAGAATATTTTTACTGCAATTGATGTAGTCATGGGAAAAAAAGGAAATATTTTTATTCTCAAACCCCATTTAGAAGTCAGGAATGGAAGAAATTAAGGCTCATGTAGAAACAAAAAAAAATCAAGAAAAGTATGGTGGAAGCTGCTCTGAAGAGTGATTTGCAGAGGGAGTTTGGTGCTGGGGGATGCAGATGGGTGGCAAAGTGGGTCTGGGACTAGGGACTTCATGAAGTGGTGAGCAGTGACAGATTTCAGAGGTGTTGATGCTTGAGGCAGGCTGTGCTTCTGTCCAGAGTGGGCTGTTGGTGATGAGGATATACTCCAGCGAGGAGTTGCGTTTTTTTTTTTTCCCGCTTCTTGCTTGAGCTTTTGAGAGGCTTGTGGCAAACAGCATCTGCCCAGAAACTCTTCTTTTGTTTTTGAACCACACCGAGCATAGAATTAATAGGGGACTACTCCTGGTTCTCAGGGGTGACTGCGATGAGGGGTGACTGTGATATGAGGGATTAAGTGATTCTACCTTTTCTTCAGATCATTTTTTATACCTTTTCTTTTACTACCTTAATAAATTTTTTTAATTACAAAGTTGTTCATCATTGGGTTTAAGCCATACTATTTTCCAATTCCCATCCTTTCACCCGTGTACATTTTCTGCCACCAGTGTCCTCAGTTTCCCTTCATCCCCCACTCTAGCAGACACCTCTATGACAGATACTTTTCTTCTCCTCTCTCTTTTTCCTTTTAGGCACTGTGGTTTGCAATACTATTACTGAAAGGCTATCGTGCTTATAAATTTGCTTCCTCACAGCACTCAGTCTTTTGATGATCCACAGTGATCATTTCTAATTATCAGTGGACCCTTCTCTGTCTTAACTGATCCTCCCCCCAACACACATGCACTTGTGGCAAGTTTCCCCCCGTGGACTAGTCCTCCTAGTCTTCATTTCTAATGTCTTTGGGTATTATTCTTCTATTTTTTTTGTAGGAGTACTGCTATTTATTCAGCCAGATTAGCTGATTGAATTGGGCATGAACTCCACCTTAATTTTTTTAATTTTTTTCTTTTTATATTTATTTATTGAATCACTGTGGGAAAAGTTACTAGGCTTTCAGGTTTAAGTCTTGGTCATACAATGATCAAACACCTTTCCTTTCACCAGTACTCATTTTTCACCACCAAGAACCCCAGTATACCCCCCCCTCCCACCCCTCCGAATGTCTGTGAGGCAGATGATTTCTACTTAACTCTTCTCTACATTGATTACATTCATTATTTCGACAAGAGATGCACCATTATTGTTTAGAATTTCCCCCTAAACAATCAGAATTGCTGAAAGGGCATTATGAAATGTTTTGTTTTCTATAGCTGGTTATGAGAATCATATAATGTCACGCAGCCACGATTTTGGATTTCTGCAAAGAGCGAAATAATTACAAGATTGGTTTCTGTGTGTCTGGTGTTATGGCAGTGCCGGAGAGCCGCTCATGGGGGTAACTCGTGACCTTGGTAGGGCGTGAAGGACGTGCCGGTACCGCCCCCTTCCCATGAGACTGCAGTTGCTCCTTCACCGCCGGCTCATACCTGGCTTTCCTGTAAGCTCTGAGGCGGCGGCCACCTTGCTGCCAGGGAGAAAAAGGCAGAAGGGAGCAACACCCTTTCCCTCCTGGGGACGCATGGCGCCGTAGTTTAATGCATGGTTCATTCACTTTTCTTCTGAAAGCTGCTGGGCTCTAGACTAAGTCCTTTTCCCTCTGGAGCCATGGCCATGCCAGAGAGCCGCTTGTGGGGGGTCAACTCATGACCTTGGTAAGGCGTGAAGGACGAGCCGGTACTGTCCCCCTTCCCATGAGACTGCAGTTGCCCCTTCACCGCCGGTTCATACCTGGCTTTCCAATAAGCCCTGAGGTGGTGGCTACCTTGCTGTCAGGGGGGAACAAGGCGGAAGGGAGCAACACCCTTTCCCTCCTGGGGAGGCATGGCGCCGTAGTTTAATGCATGGTCCATTCACTTTTCTGCCACGAGCTGCCAGGTTCTGGATTAAGTCCTTTTGCCTCTGGAGCCATGGCCATGCCAGAGAGCCGCTTGTGGGGGGTCAACTCATGACCTCGGTAAGGCGTGAAGGATGAGCTGGTACTGCCCTTCTTCTCATGAGACTGCAGTTGCCCCGTCACCACCAGCTCATACCTGGCTCTCCAATAAGCTCTGAGCCGGCGACCACCTTGTATGCAGTCCAGATGCATTTCTGCCAAAAGCCGCTGGGTTTCAAGATTTGTTTCTGAGTCTCCGGTATCATGGCTATTAATCAGCTTCATCAGGAGCCAGAGAGGCCGTTTGTAGGTGGCGACTGGGGGTCTTGTTGGGATGGGGAGAAAGAGTCGGATCCACCCCCATGTGGTGAGGCCCAGTGTGTCTCGTCACTTAGGCCCAAACTTGACTATCTAGTGGCCTCTGGAGGATGGTGGTCACCAGGCCACCGGGGAAACAGGCCAAGGCACGAAACCTATTCCCTCCTGGAATGGCCCAGCGCCAGCAACATACTGCAGGAAGAGGACACATTTCTGCCAAAAGCCTTTGGGTTCCGAGATTCGTTTCTGAGACTGTGGGATCATGGCCATCAAGCAGTTCGATCAGAAACCAGAGGGCCATGCCTCCAATTATATAGCTGAGCCGGAGGTAGTTTGTGGATGTGTCTCCCACATACCTAACTTTTGGCTGTTTACTTTCTTCGTAAACTTCGCCCCAAGTTTTTGGGGTCTGGCCAAAGGCACAGCAGCAATTTTGGGGTATCTAAAAGTCTGACATTGCCATCAGGCTGATGATGCACTCACCTCACAGGTACAGACTGACCTGCTGGCGGCACCATACCCCCTTCTTCTATGTTTTTTTTAAAAAATATTTTTTAATTATTCATGATTGGCATATAATGTTCCAACATCAATTTCTTTACCACTGTTTTTTTATATCCTGCAGTTGAGTGTGATTATTCTATGTCTGTCTCTATCCCTCTGACTCATTTTGCTCAGCTTGATGCTTCCATGTCCCTCCATGTATAAGCAAATTTCCTGACTTCATTTTTCCTGACAGCTGCATAGTATTCCATTATGTAGATGTACCATAGTTTCTTTAGCTAATCTCTGTTCTCAGGCTGGTTCCAGATTCTGGCTATTGTAAATAGGTTTGCAATGAACATAGAAGTTCAGATGCTTTTTGGACCCTAAGGGTATGTTCCCAGAAGTGGTATTGCCACATAGTTTTTTTGAGAAATGTCCATATTGTTTTCGAAAAAGACTAGACCAGTCAGCATTTCCCACCAGCAATGAAT